ATGATTGAATTAAAGTGCAGGAAAAATTCAAGTTTAAAAGTTCAGGTAAGATCAGTGCTGTTAATTAAGAAAAAAACAAAACCAAAAAAGCCAAACAAAAATTCCCCAACCCCCCCTTCCCTCAAAAAACCCCCCCACAAACAAACAGAAAAACCAAAGGAAAACAAAAAGGAAAATTAAAAGGGAAAAAAAAAAGAAAATGAACTTGCTTCCAAAAATTCTCCTTTGGATGTAGCTTTCCAATATCACTTGCCATGCAAGTACCACCTCAGGCACAAAAACCTTGCATAAAGACAGACAAGGAACACAGCTATATATTACTATATTTTAGAACTGACTGCTGAAGAACAAATCACTGGAGATGCCTGTGGTGTAACACTTTCAGACTGATTTGGAATACACGCATATTTACACATACCAGGATTCAAAAGTTACAATTTGGCAGGACTAAGATGAAGAAAAGCTTCTTCAATTGACAGTTCCTAACGAGACACACTACACATAAACAGATAGGTAGCAGCAGTTTCTTACTTTCATCGGAAAAAAAAAAAGTAATAGCTCAATTGTATTTTATAGTTTTCCAGACACTCTGAAAAAGTTTCACAAAACTAAAATGCTAGCGAAAATACCAGGGGTGCTTCCCTACAAGGATTTCAATTTACTTTGCTGTACAAAAGGTGCACCTCCAATAGCAGAATAAGATGCAATGATGTATCTATGATAAACTTCCTTCCACAGGGAAGGAAAAAGGAACATTTTAGACTAAAATTGTACATAGCCCCTTTTATTGACCAAGAACCATTTGTGTGTTTATCTCATGAGCAATCATTTCATTAGTCTTCATATCTAGAAGCATACTCTGAACTTAACCAACAAAAGAGATTCAACTATGATAGATTCTATAATATCAAATAAGCCACTACTCTTCTTGTACTGGCAGATGGTCTCTCACTGCCTCTTATTTTTTGCTTGCTGGTGGTTGTCAAATGTGTCTTGATGAGAAAGTTAAGTACATTTCCTTTCACGTCAAGGTCATCTTCCATTGAATGATAACATGATTTATTGAAGAGTAATTTTACCATCCTCTCAACCGGAGCCTGGCCAGATTAATTTCAAGGATTCTGTTGCCTTGAAATATAGTTCATCTTCACCTGGTCAAATAATAATCAGTCATCTCAATTTATAAACATTGAGATAAGGAAGGGAACAAGTGTCAGCTAGGGTGTTTTATTTTCGTATGTGGTATGGATATGAGTTTATCTAGTTTTCTTCTACCTGGACTTTTAACAAAATGGCGTTAATTTAAATATGCATTAACTAGACACTAAAAAATAAATTAACATGCAGAGGCAAATATTGCATGGCAAGCTGAGTTAAGTAACTGGAGTTAACATTGCCTCAGTAGGTATGGGAGAGAGCCATCAAGAAATCAATGTTGCTTGTTCGAATTGTCACGTTCTCATTTGTTAAGTCCTTTGAACAGTGGATGTGGTATGGCATGCCTTCATATTGGCAAAAGAATTCACTTGTCTTTTTAAATTAAATGTTACCATAAAGCAGGAAAATTTATCAGTCTGTGCTGCAAAGCCCAAACATATTGGCCTCTCATTTAAAAAGTGAAATTAAAACCATCAGTAACTTCAATATTTTGCATCCTTTAGATGTTTTGTAAGGTTGCCTTATCTGTGTACCTGCAACATCACAATACAAATATAACCAAGGTTTTGCTTTGGGAACATTCAAAACATTTGTGAAAAAAGTATACAAAACACAATGCTTGGAGAAGCAAACCCAAATGATTAATTTCAGACAATGCAGACCTATCAGCTTCTAAGTACTCCCTTTCATAAGACAAAACCAGTCAGTAACTATTTCTGTTTTGAGGAAAAATGTCTAAATAAATTTTTGAAATGCAAGCATTTATTTTAAGAAATCTTCTCAAAAAGAGTCATTCCCACGATATCAGCTTTAGTGCAGTAGCCATTAACAAGTTAGCTCAGCTGTATTATTTACCTCACCCAAACTGAAATTATTTCACCAATTCCTAAAGTTTCTGTGCACACTTTACCACTGTTTATATCGACAACACTGCTTTAGAGACTAAATCCAAACTTCAGGCCAACTGCCTTTAGTGATGGGTGGGGCTGAGATTGGTACTTGCAAAATAGCTCTACTAGCAGAACTTAGAGATTTGCTAAACCACATACTGAAAATTGGTAAATATTAGACGCTTGCTTGCCATTATTCATGCATCAGCACCTCCATGGCGTGTAAAACTTTGAAAATCTGAGTCCACGGTTATCTGATTTCATAGTAAAGGGACTAAAGGGGCATCTAGAACTCAAGTTTTGAGCAAAACTATCTCAGCTATTTCAATTAATGGCTGTAAAGACACATTCTGTTAAACATTTATAAAAGCTCACAGCATGAATGGAACCCACAGCCATTTCTAAATGTTGCACAACCTTAACCAATAACTATTTTTGGCAAAAAAATAGTATTTAACTGAACAGAAGTTGAAGTATTCTTACCACAATGAGGATGTTACCACATTTCACATTGCAAGGCCATAATACAAATGAAAACTCCCAGCATGACACATTCCAGTCATATTATTCACTTGACTTTTTTAATGCAAAAATTATGTTTTCTTTTGTTTTGCACTTCACAGAATATGATGTGAATACAAGAATACTAGATCAGGGGTCCAAGAAAAGACTATGCACAGGTCAACTATGTGTACAGTTTTCAAGAAGGAATCTCCCATGCTTCCAGCTTCTCCGATGAAAGAAGTGACAGCAAACTTCAACTCTTCTTCAATGATAATGGTAAATATAGTGAGTCCTAGAGATGGTAAGTGTAAGTCACGTACTGTCCAGCAAGAAAAATCACTTGATTCCAGCTCTTGGACCCCTGATTTATTGCCTCTCCTCACAGGAGGGTATAACACTGACAGCAATTACAATAGCACAAAAACTTTTGGCATATGAAATATTAACACAGGATTGACCCTGCATTGCCCCTGCCCATCTCACACTATGTTTTCCCTTTACTTTCTTTTCCACATCTTCTAGTTACTTTCTCAGTTCCAACTTTCTTCTAACCAACAGCTAAGAAACACTCAAGTTTGTTTTGTGTGTGTGTTTCTTAGATATAAAGCTCCTCAGTTAAAGCCACGACTGAGGTAAAACAGTGTGTCATTTGTGCTAGGAAACAACAGTATCCAATGGTGAATACTCCTTTAAATTTCAGTGGTCCTGCCAAAATTAATGAAAAAACAAGATTTTTTTTTCATCAGGACAAAATTAAACAGATGTAATTGATGAGCGTCATCAGAATTGGTACCACTTCTTGTCTTTGTACTTCAACATCATCTGAAAAAAACCAAAAAAACAATTTCTAATTACTGCTTCTATAATGTACCAAAACATACAATGACACAAATTATATGATTACAAAGCAGCATGAGAAAGAGGGATTCTAGTAAGGCTTCTCAAAGCTACAGCAATAACACTGCTGAACAGTGAGGGTTTAGCATGATGAATTTTTTAATGGTAGCAGCGTTGCTGGTGATCTGGCCTCAGAAAAAGGCATATTTGGGAGAACAGGAAGTTTGCACAGGAGTTCAGGAGTTCACATGAAAATGAATGAGAACACCCATTCTATGTAGTTACTGAGGAGAAAGACTAACTTGCATTCATGGGGTTTGCGTACAACTGGATCTTTCTTAAGGACCGCGGGAATCTGATAGAGCATTACTCTTATTAATTCTACTCTTCTTATTAATTCAGAAAAAATAAGTGATTTTTTCAATAATGGGAATTGAGTTACAATTTTAGAAGCTTACGTGCCACTCCAGCAGACTGCATGCTCTAGACCAATGTGCAGCAAGACAAAGCTGTTCACGTTAGTACTTAATTATTAGGAGTAACAATTGATAGATAAAAGGGAAGTATCCTCTATCAATGATACTCTTTATCTCTTTAGATACCTCTAACATGCCTTTGCAGAACTCAGATACTTGCAGAACTTGCATTTATTTGACAATCAATGTTCAGTTTAACATACTTACCTCATGAGCGTGTTTTGAGAAAGAATCAGCACTGTAAAGCATAGCTGCAGTCTTTTCTTCCAGTTCTCCTAGTTTCTGTCCTCTTTCATCTAATGCCAACCGGGCTCGTGCTAGTTCACCAACTACACCAGATGCTGCTCCTTTGACACCTTCAATACCTCCAGGTCCTGGAATATGCTGGGCAAGACTCCTTGATGCCTTCCCAGATGCTGATTCTCCAACTGGAGGCATTTGCAAAACAGCAAATACAGAATAGTAAGGTTTTCCATCATTATTACATAAATATCAATGAAACTAGTTTATACAGAGGTGTAATTTCTTTGCATGGAGACCAAACACCTAATCGTAGGTGTGACTATGAGCAACACTCACTACTCAATGTTATTAGATATTACTACTTAATAAAACTGAGATTTTTCAAACATATTTCCAAGTTTCCAGGCAGGTTATGAAACAGTAACCTCTTCACAGCTCAAGTGTGAAATTAAAATTCTCAGCAGTGCTAGCATCATGGCCATCAACAGAATTGTGCTGGTGAAGTGTTTTTTAACAATGTAGCTTATTCACATGAAACATGTTATGAGTTCAACAGACAAAGCAGGATAATTTTGAAAATACAAGCTGTGGTCGGTTCTGGAAGTGCTTTGCTGGTGTGTAAGCCAGCCAGTACGACTCCACCAGCCAAAGTTTCCTCTGATGGAAGTTCAATTTTAGATGCAGACACCTGAAGATTAGGTGTCTATGCTCTCACTATTGTAAAAAAAAAGCAATGTAAATCATAAAAATATAGAATGGCTGTAAGAAGAAACCAGCTCATCCTATAGTAAACACCCACAGATGATCAGCTGAACAGCTCCAGACTCCAGTGGTGGCACTGACTACATCGACTTTGCTCCTAATGGGACATCAGCCACCTAGTTCATTCTAAACCATTAATGGATGTGCTAATCTCATGCTGAATTGTTTACACTACAAAAACTTGAGTATTTTTTTTCAAACATTAAGATATAGTTTAAATATTTTCTTTTTTTCAGTTCTAGGAAAAATAATATTGTTAATATATTTTGATGCAGTACTTCAAGATTCTCATTTGATTTTATGCTTCTATTAAGAATGATTTACATTTACTAACACTATAAACATCTTTCTGTGAATTTCCATAAACAAAAAAGAGAATTCATTTCACTTATTACAGACATTGCTGTGACCCTCATGGTAAATATGGCTACTTTAGAGACATTTTCAGACGTCTTTTGAATTGTCATTAAACTCAATTTCAGGCTAAAATTCATTATGCTTTTTTTTTCTTCCATTAAATATTATTTTCCTTGTGAAGATCCAAGCCAAAACTTGAAATTATGCAAAGAGGCAGCTTCTAAAGTTATAAGGTATTTTCCCCTGTCCCAGTCATATTATTAAACTATAATTTGTGCACACAAATTTCTCTCCTAGAATATTTCACCAACCTTCCGAAGTATTACATATATATATAAATAGAAATCTTTAACACAGAAAGTGACCTCTAAATATCTGATGTCTATTAAAAATGTACAGGAACAAGCAATGAAGTCTAATTGAATTTTTATTGTAGAGATCTAAAGAACCAATATAAGAGAAAGGATTGCCAGGGCACCACGTTCATTTAAACAAATACGTTTCATGTTAATAAGGAAACAGTTTTTGTAAATAAACTTGCATAATATGGTGCTGCACCTAGCAAATCTCTGAATAAGTAGAAGGTTTTTTTTTTAAATATATTAAAGTGCTGAATGCTACAATAAAAAAGAAAGGTGTAATAAAAAAAAAGGGAAAATGATAAAGCAATGAAAATTTTGCCAAATCTGAATTTTACTGTCCTATAAACAGAGGACTGAATTGAACTATCAAACACTTCTGTCCTTGCCCTCAATTCCTAAGGCATCTCTGCACAAATCAACTGAGTAAAATCTGGCAAAATAACTGAACTAGAGTGGAGTCTTAATTTCCCCACTGTCCAGAACAGCATTCTCCAAAAATATTCCCTTTCAGTTTACCATCATAAACAGCATCACGGTCAGTACTACACAATTCACAAAGATGAATAAAAGTAAGATTAGTTGTTCCATTTCTTGTCTTATAATCTACTCCTGAATAAATGAGGTAAAAGAGCCTGTGGAAAAAGCAAGCTTTTCTGATCTTGTTGGTAAGGTGTACAACATACAAAAGATACAAAAAAAGTATTTGTTATTGCCTTTTTTACTTTCCTCCTTACAAATGTTATGTTCTATTTACACAGGTAATACATTTATCAAGGATCACTGCCTTCCTTGGGTAGAAATACCAGAAAAATAACAAGGAATAAAAACTTACACAGTTCTTCTCTGTCAAGTGACTGTGCCCCACCTCCAAACAGGCCTTTAAAGAACCCTCTGTTTGGTGCTTCTGGTGTTTCTACAGGAGTGAAGAGCTCACCCAACATTTCCTTTGCAATGAAGAAGGGACATAACAAGGCATACATTACTAAAATTAATGTAATGCTCTCACTTTCAGGATTTATTTAACTGATTTGCATTTCAAAATGAATATGCTTTAATGGACATCTGCCTTTGCAAGGCAACTTAGGAAATATAAAAACACAGTAAGAAATCTGACCAAACCTTCCGTTCTGATGTCTGCAAGCTTATAGCTTTACCCTCAACAACTTGGGTAAGACTCCTGATTTTGTTCTACTGAAACTGTATCTACAAATATGCATATCCATTCAGCAGTACCAAAGTAGAACTTACAGCCTGCATCTCTGCTATTCCACTATTCTATACAACTACCAAGCTGAAGCATGATCAAGAATCTTTTCAAGCTGTTAATACCCCTGAAATGTAATAGCTTCCATCAAGTATCCTGAGCTGGCATTCCCCTCTTGTGTCAGCACCCGAACAGCATCAATCGAACAAGGGAATTTTAACTGCATGTTAAAAAAGGAAATTTCCTATTGATCAAAAGGAAATTAAGTAAGAAACTGATTCAAGTACAAGAGCATGGATGGAACAGAAAAAATTAGGGACAGAAGTGATTCATCCTTCTACAGACTCTACAGTGAAGAAAAAAATAAACAAAATCAAATCACAAAAGCCAAAGTGCTTGGCTTTATGACAAACTTCATTACTGTAGGCATGGTGAATCTAGAACCAAGAATCTCAGAATATATCCAATAAATATTTTTTAAAAAATTTCATTACCTGAAGATTTTCACATGTTTCTTGGCTGTAGGTGAGCCTCTGTATTTCAGTTGGTGAGACCAGATAGAGTGCTTGTCCATTATTGGTGAAGCAGAATGTTCTGGCTATCCGCATATTGGTGAGTGGCAGGTAATATACATCCAACAGTGGCCTTAAACTTGGCAAACTTAAGGAAAAGAATGTTAAGCTCCATTAAATATAGCAGAAATGTCTATTATTGATCAAATGGCTCACTGCAATACATTATGCTTTCTCTTCATCTGCATGAGTACTACATAAACAGAGTTTCATCAAATGCAACTACAGAATCTCAAAACGTGAGATTTTTCAAGGTAGCACCTCAAAAGTGAAATATAAGCACCTGCATCACAGATGCATTTAAAAGCATTATTTAAATGATACTCTGAGCATGTAAATTACAAATTCGCTATTTAATGAATTAGACATTACTTAATAATTACTAACAAAGTATTTCAGTAAGTATTTACCAAGAGTTTACAAGGAAACATCCTGTCTCTTCTCTCCTTGACTAAAAATACAAGTCTAAAAGATTTCTCCTCAAGAACATTTAGAAATATGCAGGGGTGTGCTGTCAAAGGAAAACAGAATTCAGTAGCCTCAAACAATCTAATTAATTATGTCCACCTTTTTTGTCTGACTGGATACTTAAGAGAAAGTTCTTTTAGAGCAAAGTTTGCTTACCTTGTACTTTTTGATTCTGCACATGTAACTGTAGTACTTATTGCATCAATCTACTGAAGAACAGACACAGCACACTTGGGCTATAACAATGTTCATGCTACTAAACATTCCTCTCCCTCAACATAACAATAAATGTGAGTGAGTGACAGAACACCTGATTTCTTGACAAGAAGAAGCCAAAATAAACTGCTGTCTCTGAAACATCCTCTGTGAAGTTTTTGTAAAAAAGCTTACACAAGTTGTTAGCTGCAAATGTCCCAACAATACATTAAACAGCTTCTGCTGCAGACACCACCTGCATAAGATTATTTCTAGAAACTAAAAGAAGTAGCAAAAGAAGCAAAGTGAAGTCAAAACCAAAGAAAGATGTAATAATCACAACGGTAAGTGTTGGGTTGCCTTTGTTTGTTTGCTTTGGGGTTTGTTTCGGTTCGGTTTTTTTGAACAATAATGAGATTGGCTTTGGAGGCAAGTTTTAAAAGTGAGAAATAAAAAGCAATATTCTTTTGTAACACATCACCCAGAAACGACACTTCTGCCATGCATGTATCTAAAATAAGAATATTCTTAAGAGAGAGTTAATAACAGGGAAGTGTCTTGCTTCAGATCAATGGAAGCATAAAACATCCTTACAGCTTCAAAACACAAAACCATCAGATCAGGTAGGACAAGTGTGACATTCATAATAGCATTTTCATAGTTTGTTACAGATTTGTTACTAAGTACTATCTAAATTTATATCAGTAGATAAGTATTGGGCATCTTCAGTATGATACAGTGACAGCTGTATCATACTGACAGCTTTACACAAACCTCATATTAAATTCACTTCCAAATAGCAATTCATGCTTACATAACGGAGCTAATCCTTGGGAGTCCAATTTCCTCACACAATGTAACAATTCAGTATTTATAATTTAGCACCCATGAAGAACTCATTAGAAAACAACATGAATCCTGAGTAAGACAGGATTTGTTTCAATATATGGTACCTGAACATTACTAAGTTTAGTTTTAATGACGAAAAACAACAGTGTTTGCCCTGCAAGGTGAGCCATATCTTGTAGAGATGTTTAGAATATACGTTGGGATACACACCAATGGAATTACAGACTTACAATCAAAACTTATTTTTAACTGTAGTAGGAGTAAAACTAAAGCTGATACATAACAACTTAATAAAGAAGTATTTCCCAAGATGAGAGCTTCTTTTGTCAATCTTAAAAATAACATTTTAGGAATTTTACTGGCATAACTTTATAATGCCAGTTCCATATTCATCCTAGCACTAGGCCATGACTAAACTGCAGGTGCAAGGGTATAAGCATATACACTGCTGTTCAGAATAAAATAGCATTTAGAAACATTTAAGAAAAAAAAAATCCATGAAAATTACGTAAGTGACAAGTAAGTATATTCAAAAACTACTACTACATGTTTAAACTCATATCTTAAACCCCTTACTTTAGCTGACTTATTCCTGTACAACTACTAGCAATTAATCTTGCCTTTATAGCCTGAGTTTAAGGCTTTCAAGACATGAGCAAGCTACACAACATCAGTAAGCTCGAGACATGAATGTGATGCAAACAGCTGCACAAAAGTCGATAAGAGTTGTGGTCAAGTACAAGCTAAAGTTCTGACTCAAGGCAATTTTCTCCATCAGGGAGTAAATTAATTTTTTAGAAAAACTTCAACTCATGGACCTATATCACATGTTTGAAACTATATGTTGAACCAGGGTAGCTTGAGCTAAAGTGGTAAACTTTTTCATGTGTTAGAGGCATAACTAATAGCAATGTGTAATCAAAATTATCCAGGCCCAAGTGTTAGAGATTCATTAACCCCGAATGAATGTAGATTTTTTTTTTTTTAAATTCATCTTCTTATGGAAAAGGAACCTTTCTGTGTAGCAGAACGCTACTACTTCTTTTTATGTTTAAGTTACTATCAAACAGGTCTTACCTAAAAGTCATAATATGCCCATTGGCACAGAAACATGCAAGGCAGATACTGTTACTCAATGACACTATGTCTCCACGAAGAACAAAAGAAGTCTCTGTTATATTTTGCTTATAAGTACAGTTCTGGGATGGCAGTGAGATAACTTTTGCTTGCTTTTCTGAACATATCACTGCATATTGGTTTTCACTGATTTCCTGAGAGGAAGAAGGGGACACTGAGACAGGTCGTCGTTTTTTCGCTTTTTCTTTTTCATCTTTATCTTCAGGAACATTGTATTCTCTCCAGGGTTCATGTGCTGGTGGGACCAAAGATCCTGTGGTATCCAAAAAAGCCATTCTCAAGATAGCCCCTTTTAGCCTCAGGATGGTTCCTAGGAAAAAGGAGTTGAGCACATTTCTGAAACAGTTCTCCTAAATTGCCTTTCAAGCTACAAAATATTCCTTTAAGAAGCTAGCAGAATGAAAAGAAAACAAAAACTTCAGCTTGCCTCTGTAGCAAAACAGATGTACCAAAAGCTTTGTACATTTATCTAAAAACCAAAGAAGCACATACGTACTCAAGAAAATTTTAGACCAGTTTTCAAGGGTTAAGTGTATGTATTCTATTCCATTAACTTCCAGGGAAATGTGTACGTTTAGTAAGAGAATCAAACTGCCATACACATTTGTATTCAAGTTCAGTGCCACAAATGCACCTAATTTCATTCTCTCCTGAGGAGTACAAGTGTGCTTAATATCGACAATAAATGTTATTAGTCAAAGGTGAGCACCACTTTTTCCTTCAACTGGTTCAGAAACAAGCAATGTGTGTCTTCTTATTCCTCCCCTGAAGTTCACTCTTGAATCCATCTCTCTAGCATAAAATGAAAGAGGAAAGTTCTCCCTCCTTACTGTTCAAATCACTGTATCTGTAGACCAGATCTTAATATATTTCTTAATTTATCTTAGTATATTCACACATAAGTAACAACATGAACATTTGCTAAGTACAAAAAAATAGTACACATGTGGCAATATCTTTAATGGATTATGCTGCAGATCCAGTGATGAAACCTACTGTCTAGCCTGCAGCCTTGCCTTTAAGATCAAATGTTACCAAATCTGAATACTGCTACCAATACTTACTTGATTTGGGCACAAATTACATATACAGTCTAGATATTACACCACTCCTAATCATTATTACAATCAAATAGCATAGCAATTTGTACGTATGATATGATCTGTGTGAGCAAAATGGACTAGAGCAGCATGTTTTCATGAGACAGTGGTAGTAGGAAAGCTGAATCTATGCTTAATAGCATATCCAACAAACCACTAATACATAATTTCAACCAAATCAGTTGCTGTGTATCAGAAAAGAGACAAGACTTTTTACAGCAATCTAAGGGAATATTTTGTCATTAATATTTCAAGCTAGTTGTTCAACATACAGCCTTAATTTGCATTCCATTCTCTTCATGCAGGAAAACTGAAGGGTTCTTACCTCATGACTAAAAGAAAATAAACTGAGCATTTGATATTACTCGTCTCTTCTGCTATCTCTGTTTAACAATTGCAAACATGGTTTTAGCAACAAGTATACACTAAAGTGGTATTTTTATATTTTATGAGAACATATTTTCAACTTTTCCAGCTGTAAAACTCTGGTAATAAATTAAAAAGTCTAGACTGTTAAACTTAGGAGCTAGATCAATGGAATACATATTCTTAATTACTCTATAATTGAAAAAAACCAATTTCTTACAAAAATCTGAAGAAGGACAACAGTACTTTATCAAAGTATATTTTAGCCTGTCTGCTTTGTACATACCACTAGGAGAAACAATTACTGGCTGTAGAAGTCTTTGCTCTCCTCCTGGAGGTAAGTTCAGTACAATGACAAGCACTGTGCCCAGTGTGGTCCCAACCCACAGGCATGGGGAAGGTGATGTATCAGCCTTTCTTGTGAAAGTCTCACAAAAATGAAGAGCTGAAATTGCCTCGCGTGACTCTTTATCAATGCTAGTTACACTAGAACTCCGGGATCGACTGAAAGAGTTGTCTTTGACATCTGAAAATAAATCAGTATAAATTAAAAAAAATGGCAAAATGCAGGTATTAAGAGAATTCAATATTGTTGTGTGTTCTTTAGCATCAACTGTATACTAACTACCATTCTACTGATTACTACCCCTGTATTCTTCCTTAGTCATGCTTCCTGTTGGCCCAGTTTTCAACTCTGTATCTGAGCAAATCTTTGTTGCAGAGGTTGTCATTAGATAATGATCATGAACAATTTTTATGCATATTTCTGTCTTCTAGGGCCAGAGAATAACAGTCATCAAACAGGACTCCTTAAAAAAGTTGAATTACAAACCTCTCTGCCAATTAGTTCATTGATCAGATTAAAAAATACCGGTTTCCATGGAACATGGTTTACTAATCTTATGAAGAAACAAGTATTTTACTTTAGGAACTTCAGTGACATCCAGACAGCATGGTAACATGGAACCTGTAATGACTCATAATAATATTGTCCCACTTTAGGAAACTGTATGGAGGAGATCCAACAGGCTATTTACAGATCCCCAAAATTTTGGTAAAAGAAACAACAAATGCTACCAAATGACACCTGGTACTGGTATGAAAAGCTGAAGATTTCTACGTTGAATGTTGTACCATAGTGCCAGTAATAGCACTAAAACTTTTCAGGATGTCTTGCTCGCTGCTTAGCAAATAAACAAATTTTAATGTTAACAAAAGCTTAAATGACTAAATGTGCTGCTCCATTCTAGCCGTGTCTAGCTGTCTGTAGGTGTGGCAACGCTTACTACGTCCGCATACACTGACTTTATCTGTGCATTCAAAAATTATTGCTTTACTTTCTTAATTCATAATTGCAGAATTTTAGCACAAGACAGCTCTTACCAGTAAAAGTTTGATGCAATTTATAAAATGACTTTTTAAAAAAATCAAGTTCTTGGTCTAGATCTTTGTGTAGGGTATATATATTTGGCATCTTTAAAGCAGGACTAAGAGCTAAAGAGCAACATTCAACTACATACTTTTTGGAAGTATGACTATGTCAGTTTCATTAAATTTCTAAACTTTCTACAAAGAACATCTAACATGCATTTAGAAAGCATACATACTAGATTTCATGTGACTAAATACACACATCTACTTAACACAAACAGTGAATCTTCTCAGGATATAATTGTCTCATTCCAACAAGGATACAAAAAAATTATTGTCCTGTTAAATTTTAGCTGTCAAATGTAAAACATGGATTATAGAAAGAAATTAACTCAACCACTCAGATATTAACATCATTTTTCCATTTAAATAAAATTAAATCCAGAGTAAAACAATTAAAACAATTATTTGGTTTTATAATTCCTCTAATGACCACCACCTCTTATGATACTTGGTTTTTTTTCAGGCTTGAATATTTAATAATTTAATGCATTTTTTTCAACTTTAACATGGATTAATCAGTCTGAATATAATAATACAGTAACTCCAATAGGCATAACATTAAATGTGCATTCGTGAGTTCTAGCTGGTTGAATATTTGAAGAACATGTGTACAAATTCCAAAAGCATTGGAGTGGACAGGAAAAAAACCCAATAAAAATTAACTTGCCAGATAATACAGGCATTTTTGAGAGTGGTCAATTCATTCTGAAGAGAGAACTGAAGGTAAACAGTTTAACTGCTTTAGTGCATCTTATTTATCCTGAACTCAAGAAAGAAGTCAATGATTTGTTAATGGATTAGGTTCAGGTGAAGAGGAAGGAATAACAGTGTGACGAATCATTACACACCACTTCATCAGAAAGATGGAAAGATGAGGCTCTTTTGAGCAACTAAACCAAAGAATAGTACCTAGCGGCAATAGTATCTTTATCACTGGATTAGAACATTGAAAAGCAATGGTATAATGCTGACAAGAGTATGTTCAGGAAACTTCTGTTTTAGAAAGTGGAGAATAAATACAGAAACACACTTTAGATTTTCTTTAATGTATTCAGGAAGGAAAAGGGGTAGGTTAAAGATCTAAAGACAGAAAAGTAACCTGAAAGAACAAGATCATGGAAGAGTAGGTTTCAAGAAGCCATGGAAAGAAATGAGAGAAAATGATAGGATAAGGAATTTGGGAGAAAGGCATTTCAACTGTCTCCTACAGGCAGTAGGTGGAGCCACATAAGCAACAAAAAAAAAACAACCAAGCAAGGCAACAGTCTTTGAAGAATATTATGCAAAAGCTATCCCACTAGGAGAAAAGATAGAAATAATAAAAAAAGATTATGATTGCTTAAGGAAGTTATTTACAGACCTAAAAGCCTTGAAGAATTTTATGCAGAACAAATTGAGGCATCTAAGTGCAGATATTTACACACACGAAAAATCAAAACCAGTCAAAGGCTATTGCAATTCAGAAGGTACAGACTATTTCATGAGTATATCAGAAGTGATGTGACAAAAACCCCCTTCCATTATTCCAGTACAAAGAACGGCAAATATTAAGTGATGTAGAAAATGTTTCAACTCTTTCAGGATTAGAAAATGCTGAAAAAACTTCAACATTCACTTTTCTCCAGTCTTCATTAGAAAAAATAGCACTTCAAAGTACTTATTGCCACCAAAGAATTGGGAGTAAAACAGCAGAATTACAGTTAGATAATACTTAAGTACAAATGTGTTCCAGCTTGAAAAGTATGATAAAATTCACTCTATGCCAAAATTACCCCTAAACCATGAGTAAACATAGTAAGGAAGAATATAAACATATCAAAAACAGAAGTCAAATTCTTCTACTCTTTAGTGCAAAAAAGGCCACACTTAAATCCCTCTAGTTCTGGGCACTGAGCTTAGAAAGAGAAGGAAAAATTCCAGTTCCAGAGAAGATTAAAAGAAGCCATCCTAGGTTCAGACAACGTAATCTAAAGAAGAAGGAGGTGGATTCTGTAAAAAAAAAAAAATCTGCAAAAATGAAATTAGAGATATGATGACAGATTTCAACAGCATAAAATGGCTAACAAAGATAGGGAGTACTTATTACCCCCATTCGTTGTGGAAAGGACAAGAAAAAGTTCATATGAAAGCAAGGAAGTTTCATTAAATAACAGAAAATTTGTCTAATTACTATAAAACATTGAAACTGTCTCATATTTTCTGGAGGCCCATGAATAGATCAGAGGTTTAACTGTCAAACATCTGTATCCTTGTCATAGCAGTGGATTAAAGGATCTCTGAGGGTTGCTTCCAACTTCACATTTCTCTGAGTGGGGCAAGCTGTAATTGTAAATCAGGGTGGTCCAGCTCAGTTTCAGAATATCCCAGTGCCATGGACTTTTTCCTTGTCAATAGCAGCAGCAGCTGTCACACACACAGTGCTGCAGCTGCCAGTCTGATCCTGGTCTGTCTTCTGCTGGGCTTGAGGTAGCAGTTCTGCTGCAGAAAGGGGAGTGAGCTGTGGCAGGCAGAAAGCAGCTGCATCTACTGCTGTAGGTCTACAGCTGTCCCCCATCGCTTCTTTAGAGAACAAGGCAAGGGGAGCTGGATATGATCTACAAGCTGGCTGTCAAAGTATTTTAAAAAATAATCTACTCATTTGTATGCTGTTTTACTTATGCAACACAATGACCTTTAGTACTACAGACTTCAAAACTGAACTGCTTCCTATATAAAAAGTTACTGTGCTTTTTCAAGAAAAATTCAATTCTCAGACTGGTCATCCATCCAAACAGCTGTATGTTCCTTCAATTTAGAGAGAGTGGTCACAAGACAATTAAAGTTTATAAAGCTACAGCCAACTATTTGTTGAGAGGACCTCAACATACTCTGTTAAGATATTTCATTTTTCAGTTTAAAATGTATCAGATGGCAGCAGTTTTCCTTATGTTGTCTGCTTGTCATGCTTTTGCTATCACAGCACTACTGATAAAGTGAGTGACAGACGCCTAAAAATTGACCGAAGTATGATAAGCCACATACAGGAATTATAGGCTTACCTTAAGATGACGGCAAAGACATTTTGTGCCTGAGAGTCCCCAAAAAGAGTGGAATTAAAATTTTAGTTCTATACTTCAGATAAATGCAACATAAAGTTACGATAGCTTACATAATTTAGGACTCTAATGTACTTGCATTCAGTTTTAGTAAAAATAAAATTAACTCTGTAAACTTACCTAAATCAGGCTTTAACTCAGTTGGCAAACTTAGCTTCCTGGACATCTTTGCTGAAAAGTGAAGTATATCTTTTTTTTAAAAAAGAATAAACATAATTCTGCTGGCCTTTATTTGCTTCTTTCCCAATATTTAATATATAATTGTTTATTACATTAATCGCAGTACTTTACAGGATTTCCACTAAAGCAAAGCCTCACTTCCACAAGTAAGGGGTGCAAAGTAAAACACGGAAGACAGCAAAATCCCTAAATACATAATTTTATGACTTCTGTTGAGCTTGATTTCTCCTCAGGCTTCAGGCAGAACTTGATAGATTGGATGACTTTGGCTTTGGTTCAACCCCAAGTTTTATCTCAGGTGAGAGAACAGAATACAGACTCTTGGTCATTGCAAAGATGTGCACTTAAGTTTACATAGAATTAAGATACAATCCCCTTTTCTTATGCACTACTTTCTGATCAAACTGAAGGCATTTAAAACAGAAAAAGATGAACTCGGAGGTGCTAAAACAGTAATGCAAATGTGTAAAAAACTAATAATTTGAGATGCAACCCACAACCTTAGAAGAATGATCACAAAACCAGCAGCACACAAACACTCGCAACATCATAATTAAAAAAAAAGATAGTATAATTTTGATAATACTGTTCAAGTGATAAACAGCATTTGAACTTATCCCTAACTTAGAAATTCCTTTTATAGGAAGGGAAATCTTGCAATGAATTTAAACTGCAGTAAAATACTAAAAAAATGCTGCTATAATAAACATACCAACTAAACTAGTAGCATACATCCCTCTTCCATCTTTCTTTCAACAATTACTGGAGAAGGAATTATTTTGATGTAGTTTACTAGACTAGGACTACACTCTGAATTTATTTCCCACACACATGCTTGAATTTTGCTTCAGCAATTAATTATTCACCATCTTGCAAGGATAATACTTCTTTTGCTAAAGTAGATGTTGAGAATAGCCTCATAATTCTAGAAATACCCTGCAATGGATACCACTCATAAAGCAGCCTGAATCTTGCAGCTTTTCTCTGTTAAAAATGGAGTTAACTCATTCTAATTATCACTTTAATAGAAGTCATTCAATTTTCTATGTACCCTGAAGAAAAGCATGTGATTTAAAGTTACTTCTACTGCTTCAAAAAGTGTAATTCTTCACTATATCATCAATTATGCTCATCAATATTGCAAATGCTAGTTATCTGAATAGTTGAACAGTTTTATTCCTGTCATACATTATAAAAATTTGAAAATAGGACTCCAGAAATAATCTTCTAATTTCCTGCATGTGTCAGTGTTAAAAGTATGTTCAAATTAAATTGAAATTACTTACTCTCAGATGGAAATGCTAGTCACTTATTTTAGTGCAGGCTGAAATTGGAAAGGGCAGTCTGACTGCACGTTTTCTACCCTCATCCTTGCATTAACACTGGCACATACCTAGCTTAATGCTGAGGCCAAAACTCATCTGGAGTTTCTGCCAAGGGTTGTATCCGAGCAAGATTATCTCATGTTTCAGATCAGAGTACAGATATACAAACAGAAAACCATGGCACAAAACAGCACTAGTGACCAGGAATCCATCTTTTTGCTGTCAGCTTGAACTTAAATCAGCTTGCAAAGAGATCATTCTCATCTGGAATAGTGAATTACAAGACGAGCATTCCTTATAAGACTTGTTTTCTGTGTTAGACATTTAAATCATAAGAGCTGAGATACTGAACAAACCCTAGAGCTTGTACATGGAAAATAATTGGAGTTATTTTTGGATTTTAACAGCTTTTACCATGTGTGAATACCAGCAATGATTAATTAACTTAGTCATTGAAGACCAGAGTAATCACTTTTGGCTTTTCAAATAGAAACATTTCGCACAATTTTAATAATTTGGAGAAAACTGACAAAAATAAGAAGATACTAGGTAATAGATAATGTAGCAGGTAATAAAAGTACAGGCAAGTGTGTTGGATTCTGAGTACTGATCCACAGTTTTAGCTTTTTGTTTCTTAGTGAAAGGCCAGCTGTGTGAACTAGGTTGACAAGATAAAACAAATTTGTCAGACAATTTTCAGCATACGCTGAACTATGCCTCATAAATAGGATAAGAGGATACATGAACTGCGAAAAAGGATATCATTGTTGGAAATTGTGAATTACTGTGCTATGCAAAAAATACCCCAAAACATTTCAAACCATATATTAATGTGCCAAACCTTCCAATAATTCAAATGTAAATAAGAAATAAGAACCTATTTCAATAGCAACGGTGCCATCTTGTGTTTAAAGAAAAAACTGCCTAAATGTGCAGTAAGAAAATAGGACAATTTCACCAGATAAGCCACTTTTAACTATCATTACTCATTATAAAAAAATCTGCTTGTATTCATACCTGGCTTATGGTTTAAAATACTTTTGGTAGATTCAGTTTTGCTACACCTCAGATGAAAACTAGCAACATGTTAGACACCTTCTACAAAGCAAAATACAAAAATCAGAAAAATGGAATGTATAGGATGGAGATCTACAGAGAGACCATTCAATGCCAGGCTTTTCACTCCAGCGCTACAACAGGACAAAGGTGATGTTGACTGCTCCTGCTGTGCATGGCTGACCTCAAGTAGTAGCTGTCTATATCAGAGTTCCACACCTCTCTTGTGGGTGGTGGCTGCTGCAGCATTTACAGCCAAGACTACCCTTCTGCCGCTGGTGTGAGACAAAGACAAATCAGGGAGCTGTTTTGCTCCTCCTGGCACGCTACTGCTCAGGGCATCAGTGACTATTTTGCCTGAGTTTAGACCTACATTTAATATTCCTCTAAATTAAAAAACCTTGAGTAATACACAGGCCCACCCATATTCTTTCTGTTATTATATATGATTAGGCATCATATTAGAGAATTGTCCAAAACCAGGGTTCTTGAGATTTCTCATAGGTCAGGTTTGGGAGGGCAGGTGTTAAAATATGAAAGGTTGCCTTAGCATAGCATGTTACATGTCAGTATGGCAGGTGCAACCTCCAATTCAGTGAAGAAAACCTGAAGGCTGAGACATGACCGAACTATCAATAGGAAGCTATGGCTTAAAAGTAATATACATTTTATTTGCAGTGGATTATCCTGAGCTTATATTTTACAATGTATAGCAGCTTGAAAGCTACAGCAATTTCTCCTCGGTTTCTTAAGGAAAATAGTCTAAACCTTTTAAAATTAAATTCTAAATATTATAAAGGAGACAAGTGTCTTCTCTTGACAACCAAGAGAACAGTTTGTGAAGCCTATTTCATATAACATTACATGAGAAATAACTAAGCAGCTTAGAATTTGTTAGACGTACCCAAGTTCCCAAGCTATTCTATATTTGACAACTACACAGAAGTGAAATACTTATATTACCAATTACCAAATGTTGAAATCTCTAAATTTCCTATAAGAATAATAAAACCATTTTATAAGAGAGTGTAAGAAAACATGTACTTGGGTACATCCAAAATTAGATCAAAGTATTAAAAACACATTGGAAGAAACAGTCATAGTCTGACAATAGGGCAAATGAGAACTTATTATGAGCATCTTAAAATTTGATTCCATGAAAACAGCACTAACAGTTAATTATTTTGGTAATGTTTGAAAAACTTAAGTGTACACTTAGAATGTAACAAATGTGAAAAACCTTATGTCAGTAGTAGCAGCAGGGATTACAGAAGTCTGGAATTAAATCTACCCTGCTCAGTTCTGTCTACTAATAACGTTCGCAGTTGTTTTTAAATTTACTAACTGCAGAAAATAAACAAGACCAATTTTCCTGAGAAGCATTTGACATGTAGGCTACTAGAGCAGTTATACTTCTTAAAATCTACCACATTTTGCAATAACCTTTACAAAAGCTTTTCCCAGAAATGGCCATTACAATACATCTTAACTTTCAACATGATTTTTAGCTATAATATTTAATCACCTGTATCTCTTCATGCCAATAATTAACTAACCAAAGTACAAGAAAAACAGCTTAATATTTTGCTTCCACTGAATTTGGAGTCCAATATCCTTCTATAAAAATGACACAGCCTTAGAAATTATGTACTTCCTACCATCTTCTTTCTGTAAATTCATCTACAATTAGTACGCTTCTACAAACACTTTACAGCATACTATTTATACTTTCAAATATTTGACATTCCTAAGAGAAAGGGTTGCTTTCAATAAGGGCCACAGTACTTTCTAGAATTTCTAGAAATAGTTAGTTAAATCAACTATCTCAAGATTTCCAAGATAACTATAACTTATTCAAAGTTCATCTCTGCAAATAAAAGGCAAACACAACACAGAAGCAACATATTCACAATAGGTCTTAACTTGAATTGCTATCCATTCCTTAGCACAGAGCATTCACAATTGAGTTTAAAAAAACCCAACAAATAAAACAGACCAACTGATCAGAATGTTGGTACAGGAAGCATTTGCATATTGTTTTACCTAGGCTATTGTTTCACTTTTATGTGGGTGTTGATCCTCTAACAAACCAGAGACTCCTTGTTTAGTACTAACACTAATTATAGAAATCTGTAGAAATTACGATGTCTCATATTTCTAACTGTGTTACGTTACCACTTTACAGCCCTATCACTGAAATTACTTCACACTTTGCTAGCAGCATTCCCTTGCTCCCTGTTCCCATGTGACAAACACAGGAGTGATATTAACAGCAACTGAAGTTATCAATGTAAATGATTCTTATTCTATTTTGCAACACATTTATCAGGTTGTATTTCACACATTGACAAAGAACAGAAGGAACTTGAACTGATTGCACTGATTGCCAGTGCAGAGAGCTATGACCGCGCTATACACATCAAATTCATCCATGAGAACACAGCTGATGGCAAGCAATTCGTTTCATACAACACAGTGATGTTAATGACAATGACACATTTTACAAAACTCATTGTCCATTCACATCACATTTGGTTGGTAATTCAGCTTAAAACAATGAAATGCAAAAACATGCAGCTATTAACACAGAAGAGGTGTTTTATTTGTGTGAAAGAGTTTAGAATGTAAGTTCAGAAAGAACTAGAGTAAACATGCCAGATAAGCTATAGTAAACATGGCAGTGAAACATCCACATGCAGTGCACAGTACCAAACCGTTCAAAACGAAGAGAATGCAAAAGAAATAATTATCTTCAAAGTTCAAATAAACTCTGCAAGTTACAGAAATCACAGTATAACTAGGAGCATGAAGAATGCATTACTTGTAAATAAATATTTTTCTTTCTTTAGCTGTGAAAAACATTCACTATGTTTTCAGTTGAAAGGTTTCAAGCTGAAACAGATGTGAATAACTCTATAGAATTGTCATTAGCATATTTTATTAAAGCTTTAACATCACTCTTTGAAAAGAAGTGAAAAAAGAGGTCACAGACAAATTTCCTTGTGTTTGGTATGAGACAGTGTCTTACATTCAGAAGAGACAAAAGGGAAACATTACCTCAACAGACATTGATATAACATGCACAAGATTAAGTGTTGTTTTTCTCATTAGAAGACTTGAACATTAGGTTCTAGTTACCCTAAATTTCCTTTAGGGAAGCATATTAAGGGTCATGTAAAAGATACTAGATATTTTTTAATTACAAATTCACATAATATATTATTGACAGCCATTTGCTTTCTTGAATTATAATCAGGCTTCTGCTGCCTCAGAACTCATCTTTCCTACCATTTCTGGTATCACTGCAAGAAGGGCTCAACATGGTACTGTCCAAAGGGCATATTCTTGCTCTTCCTCATTCTGTACCTCGGATTCCAAGGACCACTTCATCATACTCATATTTGTCTCACTGAATTTTGAATGATTCTTTGTCTTAATTACTGAATTGCAATGAAGGGGATTAATGATTTAGGATAGAAGTTCAATTGCCAAACAGAATAATCCAAAGGAGACTGTAGGAAAATAAATCTCTCCCTCCCTAGTCTTATCCTGTGCTTCTACCCAACCTATGAAATAGCAGTTTAGCAAACAGTTTTACTATCTAAAGTAATTTCAACCTAAACTGACTGAAGAGATAAAATGAAATTATCCTACAATGATATACTAATTTGCTAAATGAAAACAAAATGAACCATTAACAAAGTGATTTTGCAATGAAAGTAACCATATCCCAGTTAAGGCAGAAGAGTCCCTTTCCCAAAATTAAATCATACAGCTCTCACCTTCATTTATTTAATGACCCAGCTGTTAGAAGCAGAGTTATTTCCATGCCAATCATAAAAGCGTTCAATCTACCTGCAAACAACATATTCCAAGGCAATTTTGTTGCCAAATTGTTAAGACACAAGTCTAGAGCTGGTAGGGAGGGTATTGTGTTGCTGTTGGATGCAGAAAAGTAAATGGAGGTCTGGAACAGTTATGTGGTATACTTATATATACGAACAAGTCCTCTTCCAGATGAATAAATGAAACCATAAAACTACATCTTTCTTGACCATAGCCATATAGAAATCTGACCATATGGCTATGAATACAACATATAAAAAAGAAATTATATCAGCCACATGTTCTCAAAGATTCTCACAGAAGCAGTGGAATAATGTTGTGACTTGCATAGACTGAACTCTTACTATGTATTAGAATTTCACCCATCTGGAAAAATAGAGAAGTGCAACAGTAAAATCAGAGAATTTCAACCACCAATACCATTGATTCTTTTAAAAATTATTGCGCCCACTGTATTTAGTACAGAAGCAGCCCACAGAAATTACCACTTAGTATAAAGAATGAAAAATAAATAACTTAATGTATTGAAATTTGACTGTTATTTTGCCCTTTTTTTATTTTTTTTTTTTTTGCTGCTGGGTTAGTTTTGCATAGAGTAAGGCACTGGATTAGAAAAAGCAGAATTTTTCTAGTTCCTACCTATGTCATTGGTTACCATCTTGGAAAACTTTCTGCTTTTGGTCTTCACTGTAAATAATATTTTAATAAAAAAGATCAATCTAAGTATAGCAAAAGGTGAACTGAAGAAAAAACAAGACTAGAGAAAAGAAAAATACTGTACCCTTTTCTATAAAATTATTCATTTTTTGTTCATCATCAGAATTGTTTGGTGAACCAGAACCTACAAGTGGAGACAGAATGAAATGGATATACATTTGTCATGAATGAAGTGGATATATGACACAAAATCAATGTATTAATACAAGCTTTGAGTTTAATGAAGATAAAAAGAAGTATTAAAATATCAAATACTGATACTGGTATTCTCTGTAGCTGTACTAGATATTATACAGTACAAATTATTTTGGTATGACAAGAATTCTGCCATATCAGGATTAACCACAGAAATTATAATGCAAGCTACAACGCTGCACATTGCAGCGAGTTTATTGATAGAAGTATTTCCCTCATTGATGAAATGTTTATATTGAATAACTAAATAGATGTACTAATCATTGCTCCAGACACAATGATTAACCTAAATTATGATTCACAAAACACTGCTGTAACAATAAACTCAAGTTCTATACAGCTGTTTCTTTGTTTGCCTTTTTTCAATGCAGTAAAGTCACTGTTGGACCACAGTTCTTCCACTATTCTGCAGAAAACTCTGAGCCAATGCTACCACCTGGGATTTTTCTGTATCCCTAACCCTGAAAAACTGGTGGTGGCTACAGATCACAGCTTCAGGCTTACTGTTGTCATGAAATTAAAATATTGTCAGGAAAGTAAAACATTGTTCAACTAAAAACATCCAAATTTAATTGGATTTTATGCTGCTGAAGTGTAAAATAAGAACAAAACATAAGCATTTTGGCACTCCTGAAGACAAAATCTTGTCAGATTACAACGCTATACAATGTTTTACAGGTCAGATAAACACCCCCAGAGTCTAGGCCTATTACTGCTTGACATTTATAGAAAAAGCAGGAGACATTTTCACAGTATTTCTACAATTCTGTGTTACTGAAACTGTAGGATATTGTCCTAACTTGCATAGGCAGGTAGTCCCTTTCACAGTCCTCTCAACTATATAGCCACCCACTGGAGGAAGTCTAACGGAAGTTAGCTTCCACTTCTCTTTACCTGGACATCGAAAGGTGGAAGATTTAGATCATTTGAGCAAATTTAGACTTCGGTCCAAACAGAGACTAGTCTCTTATAGATCCCATTGCAACAATGAAAGCCAATAAGGGACTCAATTGCCAATCCCATCCTCTAGTCTTAAAGCTAGGAACATGCAAACTTTTTGTGCTTCTGTATTTTCCTCTTAACTAGAGAGCCAATAGATTGGAAAAAATTTACTTAAATCTTGCCTCCATGCTGCTTTACAAGCTCACCAACACTTTGCAGCAAATATCTCAAAAATGTCCTCTCTTACCTCTGAAAATTAGATGGCATTTTCAAGCTTCTTTCCAGTCTTGTGCTCTTGCCCAGAAAAGATATAAAACTTAAACCAAACCTAAGGAATTGCAGTTCTTCTCCCTTCACAAATCTCAAATTATTTCCATATTAGGAGGTGCCTCCAAGTTTTTTTCAAAGGAAAAATTGAGAAGCCTACCATGACCTTTATCTCATTCACTGAGAGCTGGGAGTAGAGGACAGAATCAAGGGAAGCAAGGCACAGTCTAGCCTCACTACTTCAAGATTCTATTTTACATGAGAATGCAATAGTTCCATTTGTCCTCCATCTTTCGTCCCTTCACTGGTTTTGGTACTTTAGACCTATTTATCCACAGTATTGTGCATGTACACATCATAAACTATATATCTTTTCACAGAATACTCAGCTCTCCAAACTTCTAGGTTTTATTCTAAAATGAACTAAGTTCAAAATAGTGTTCTCAGAAAGTCAACCCAAACCAGAGACTCATTTTTACTTCTACAGGATTGGAAATTTCCCTCTGATTTTGTGTACTTTCAGGACATTTGAATTCGCCTATTCTAAGCTGTCTCCTTATTTGATCCTCTTAAAGAAACATTCAAATTTCATTAATTTTTAACCTACTATAGCTCACAGAACTCAGACAGGAGGGAGGGGGTAAACAGAGGAGGGGAAGCAAATTGTTAAATATAGGGGTTTCCTTGATTTTCATCTTTGGACTTGCCTTCATTGTTAGTGGAAATGGTGAATTAAGGTTTACTCTACTTGAATTCCAACTTATGAAAGAAACTCTCTAATTCATACTACACAGGGTGTTATGTTTAAGCAGTATGAGTTGGAAGCAGTTGGGGCTGATATTTGGGTGATGCTGGAGCAAGGGGAAAAGAGGATACACATTAGGGTTTACAACTCATTAGCTGTTCATTGCACACATTTTATAGTAGTCTACCAGAAATGACACTTAGCCTGGACTTTTTAAGTGGGTCAAATTCAAACACCTTAGTGAGATTGATAACTATCCTCAACCTTGACAGACAAAGAGATTTACTGCAACTGCAGCACTGCACAGTAAACTGTTCACAGACATCAGTCTTGATATTCAAAAATGAAATAGGAAAGATGCACTTTATTCTAAACACCACAAAAAATGTTTTCACTATAAATGATGCTGAAATTAACAACTTCAGCATGCCAGTACTTAGCATTACAGATGTTTGTCATGAAATCACATCTTCAGTTAAGACTTTTAATTAAAGTTCCCATCCAATTTTTGCTTTAATTATAAATAAATTCAATTTACTTTTAGAAAGAGCTAGCAAAAATGACATTGATTGATCTAGAGGTGAGTTTTGCACAACTTAAAATTAACATCAAAAGACAGCAGTTGTCAAATCAGAAATTAAAATTTGTTAAAATTTCTACTAGAGCTACAAACATAATATTTTGTTTTATTACGCCTTCAACTTGGCTTTGAAAGATACAGGCTACAATAGAAAAGGAATCTATCTTTAGATTCCTATCTTGATTAGCATTTTGCACTACGTTGCACATACTACTTTACATACTTGATTTAAACCTGAAGTTTAGTCCTTTACTCTAACTTTGAGTAGCTTTGAATAAAACAAAATGGCATCTTCAAAAGTTCTCAGAGTAAGAAGTGAAAATAAGCGACAATTTTTAGCTACTACAAAAAATATACACCTCTAATACTACATATACTTAAGTATTTACATGGCTATAGCCTCAACTAGCCAATATGAAATAAAATATTAAATCTTTAAAATATAATTTAAAATGTTCACATACAGCAGTTGCAATTGAATAAAACCAAACAACTCCTTGTTTATCATGCTGGTTTCTGAAGACCTCTGATTCCAAAGAAAAATAGTAATTTGCCACTTAAAGATGCCACTCATCCTTATGACATATTCCTATTGCACCTCTTATATCAGCCTTGTTTTAAAAATGCAGTTGTGCAACACAGCAAAATTTATGACAGCTCAAAGAGTTTGTGAGAGGACAACAGGTTTTATATAATTACTAACTAGTAAATGTTGACTTAATGCATAGGAAAATAAGAAGCTGAAGATCAGAGAAAGTTATGATTACCTGATGTCGGCGACTTGCACCGGTCTTCTGGCACCACTGTACCTTCATTAATATCACAAAGACCTGCTGAAACACAAAGCCAGAGTATTATAAATACAGTTGCTATTTTATTCTTACTTCCACTGCAGTTAGGAACTTCATTTCTTATTAGATACAAACAAGTCAGTTGTGACAGAATTTCTGTTACATATTTTTTTTTACACTACCCACAGTGACCGTAGAGTCACTAACAAAATACACTCTCATTAAATTTCAGTGAAAACCACCATATATTCAGCAAGACAGACCTATCAGAATAGTTAATTATTTACACACGATAGATATATATTAAGTACAAGCAAAATTTGTTTTGAAAAAAATCAGAGTTATATAAAAAATTTAAATGCAAAAGAAAAATCAGATTAAAGAGGATCTTGAAGATTACAAACACATATGTGAAACTACAGTGCCTTTTTTCAAACTACTTTCCTGCTGATACTGTGATATGTTTTATATTTGTCAATTTGCATTGCCAAGTCCATTGTCCAGAAAAACTCCTTATTGATGTCACTTACAGAATTCAGATCTTAGGGTGTTTACAAAGGTGTTCTTCCTAAAATGGGGGAATTTCAATAGAATTCTTACATCATCAAATTTGATCAATTTGAATAATTGCAGTATGTTAACATGTAAAAACTAATTCCTTTCATTCCAGTGAAGGAAATAAAGTCTAGTAGTCCACAATCAGATGCCAAAGATGAAAGTTGCCTCATAAGCCTCCAAGTATTATTCCATAGCACAAATTAGAAGTACACAAGGAATTTTTCTATTTTTCTTTTTGACATGAAATTGCTGTCCAGGCTGTCCACAATTAAGAAAAACGAATTTTATTGATATTTTAAGGTTAGTGATGCATCTTCAGGTTTATATCATGAAGTTTTCCTACAGAAATTTCATGACGTGATACTAAGGCAAAAAAGCATGGAATACTGAACAGCAATAGTTAAGAAATATTTGTTAAAATTAAGGGGTTTTGCATGCACACAAATGTTTCCAGTAGTCAAAAAGTTTGAGAAGTGTAATGGTAAGGACTAAGATAACAAAGGCATTACATGGAAAGCCTGTCTATACAGCTGTACACTACACATTCACAAGTGCATCTGTCAAGAAACAGAAAATATAAGAACAGCTCTATTCTATCAAAGCTTTAAAATTTCCAAATATTAAATGAGAATTTAATAGTTTTAAGGGAAAAAGGTTCTCCTGAAATATCATATCAATCTGGAATGCATTGAAAGTGTGTTGCATTAACAGTTTTGTTTATCCAAAATAGTATTTTTTAATATTACTAAGAGCATATACAGCTTAAATCTCAAAACTCAATGACTAGAATTGTTGTCAAATGACCTTAAGGCTTCATTAACCTTACACTTGAGAGTGCTGGAACCAATTTAAATTCTAAAAAGTAAAGTGAAATTCCAGGTGAAAGCTATGTCTTTCCACTACACAGGAGAAAGAAAAAAGCAATTTATTTTGTTACTTATCTGTCAGTAAATCGATGAATACTATGGGATAGTCATGGTCCATATCCTCTAAATATGATGTGACCTCTGAAAGCACCAAAGTTCTAAACAGGCATGGGAGTCTAAATGTTTTGAACCAGACAGGATTATATAAAAAGATTTTTCAAAAATCCTGATGTTGCTCTCACAACAAGCAATACAAGTTTTAGATAGTAACAGTGCTGGGAGGATAAACCTGTACTGTGCTCTTAGAAGTAGTTGCTCCTTCAGGAGCCAAACCAAACAAATCCAAACACACAGTTCAGGAACTCAATTTTCTCTTTTCTGTAAATATCAATTCTTTACCTTCAAAGGAAGAGTTGCACTGTTTCTCTTATGAAAACTTATTAATTGACAGGAATAGTCTTTAGCCAAGAATGAAGTTATACACATGCACACTTGATTTCTTTGTAAGAAGTCTTGAGGCTATAATTTGATTAATACACATCTTAATAAACAGTAAGTGTAAGCGTGCATTATGGTAATCACTATGGCATGTAAACCTTGGAAATCTAATCACAGCCATCTAGAAAAGGAACAGGAAGAGATGAAAAGTAATTTTACCTATGACTATATTAGTAATTAAACTAAGCAGAGAATAACAAAAATGACCTGAGTTAAGCTGTGAACTAGGAGAGTCTGTCTATGACCAACAAGAAGAAACTGGCATGACAGTCTCTATTGCTGTTCATCTTAAAACCCCAGGTACCCTGATAGAAGCTCTGGCAGCAACACAGCTCTTCTGGAAAAGTTCTCTGGTTTTGGGCTTATAGTACACATGCAAATTGCTATGAATTACCAAAGCAAATTGATCCAAGAGTTTCCATTTTAGAACTGTAAAGACTGTAACTTCCTATGATATCAAGGTATATACAAGTGACTTTCTAATAAGCTTTTAGTTTATTTATCTCTCTGAACTCCAGAAGCAAGAAATTTGAAAACCCTCCAAACTGGAAAAAAAAATAAAATCAAATGTCAAAGACATAAACATTACCATGCTGCATTAAAAACCTCCCTAGAATTACAGCTGAAATTAATTGATGCATAAAGTAAGTTTCATGAGACTTTTGTCAGTTTTTTGCATAGGCTTTAGACAGACATACCTGAAGAACCTACAACTGGACTGGAAATCAGCCTAATTAAAAATTACAACTAAAACTAGATTGATATGAAGATGTAAAAGCTAGAACTAAAAACAAGCTGAAAAACAGAGTCAAAAAGCTCCCCAAACCCAATAATCAAACTTTCTGATACAGTTCTCGCCTTGGCTGATGTCAGTCACAGCTGATGTTGGTCTTGTGGCATTTAAGATAAAATTCAAATAGGCCATGAAAGGGGATAGGGGAAACAGCATGACCAAGCAATCCCAGAAGAGTTCTAGGCATGTATTTTCTTCCAGTTTGCCTCAATTACAGTTCTGAATATCTCGTAGCCTACATTCGAAAGAAAACTTTTTGATGTATAATAAAAATTATGAAGTCACATGCATGCAAGAACTGCTTCAATTTTGTCAGAAACCTAAAATGTCTCTGGTAGAACTCAGAAATACTAACTTATAATGAGTTGTTTTATATTGGACTAATCAAAAAGTCACATAAAATCTTGTAATCCCCCCCAACAGTTATTCGCAAAAGAGTTAAAATTGGTGTCCTATATGAACTTAAGTAACTAAGAAGGAAAAATAACAGCTGTCTAAGTTTTGGTATTTCATCATGAAATTATGACTTGTCTCATCATTTGGTATCAGTATTGACTTGATGGTTCCTGTCATATTTAACAAACAGTACATCAAGCAAGTGTAAGCCACCACTGTGTATAGAATATACAGAATTTTCATCACATTGTAAAGCTTTTACTTACACATTTCATGTCTTTTGGCACGTGGCCAAAGCTGATTTCCACCCCTCCCTTACTATTACAGTCTGAAGGCAAAAGTTGATTTTGATTTTAAGCTTGACAAGCACCTGATGACACTGTCTAGCAGGCCTTAACAAAACACATATACTGCATGCTTCACAAACTATAAATTTCCACCCAAAACATGTGAGTAGTATACCTGGTATGAATCACTGATAAATTCCAAAACACGATCCCAACTGGGAGCTTGTATCTGTAGAGCTAGCCTGAAATGACAGTTTACAGTCTAGCTAGTGTAGAGAGCCTTGTCTCTAATTAGATGCTGCTTTAAGACGGGAATCTGAATTTCTTTTCTGAGTAGAAAAAATAAGATGACAGAAACATACATCATATTCTTGCAACATAAGTGAAGGGAAAAATCTTGCATTTCCATTCATATTTTAGAAGATACGTAACTCTTACTATATGAATTTTTTTAAAAAACACCTTTGTAAATTTTCAATTGGTTGATTAAGGACATGCCATTTACTAAATTGTAAATATGTCAGCAGATATTGATGATCTACTGAATTGACATTCTATGCTGAAACATACAGAATATTGGGGTTCTTAATTAGAAAGGACCAATCCTTCCTGCATTTTTTGGAAGTGGTTGAGTAATAGAAAATAATGTTTTCCTACTCCCCTCCCTGCCCTCATATGGAAACAATTTTTCTGTTCAGCCAATTTTGTGATACTATGTACAATATATTCTGCTCTGTTGCATGCTGTCTGAATGTGAATTTAATATAACTAATTAAGAATTTGTCTGAATGCATATATATAGGCTAGTATGATTTTTTTTTCTTAAATACAGTTAAATACAAGAATTTTCTAAAACTACTATGTGACATTACTTACCTAAGCACTTTTTCTCGGAGAATTTAGATATTAAGTACTAATACTCCCTGAAGATTATTAGAGTTGTAAAAGTGTGAAAATGTCTTATTCACAGAAAAATTAATTTTGAAATATTTAAATATAAATGTTTTCAAGATAAAAAATACAATGAAGGCATATCTTTCAAAATAAAACCAAGGAAGCATAAGTTCCTTGCATTTTTGAAAATGCAGATACTAATGTCCAAGAAAGGGAGAATGCAAAATCCAAAAGTGTTCTGACTATCTCATATAGTTCAAATTCCATAAATATATCAAAGGGTATTGCTTAAATATTAAGACTTATTATTTGTGGAAAATTACACAGTAATAATACTTTATTATTTAAATTATTGAAGTCTGGGCAACACATACATTGAAAGAACTACAAATAATGAGAAATTTTAAATGAAGGAGAAATTATTTTCAGGTTTTAAAATTAATGTAGCTCCAGCTAACCAAGATATTGTCAGGATGGTAAACAGAAAGAGAACTACACGATTAAGAAATTAACTCTTCTGTACAAAACTTTTTTAACCTATTTCTAAATAAAATAGTCAAACAAAATTCAGCTTTACAATATTTGGTTTCAGAAACTAGTTTTGGGATTTCTACTCATCTTTTGCTCTTCTTCAAAACAATCAGTGCCAGATTCTGTTTTTCAGTTCTGTATCTTAAGGTGAAGGCATTTCTTTTATGCCTAGTTCCCTTTCTGCCTTGGCAGCAGAGGATTGAAGACTATAGGGAAAGCAGGTTTTTGCTATTAAGACTACTCTCCGAGATGTATTTCTTTTTTCTTGTTCAGGGAAAAAATGGCAGAACTATGAATTGGACGACAGTATCAAGTGTTTGGGTTTTTTATTTGTTTTTGTTTTGTTTTTTTTTGTTTGTTTTTAAACTCCAGTTCAGTCTTGCTGTAGCTTAGTTTTATTCTACTCCATTAAAAAATGGGGTGAGATTACCTACCTCTGCCAAGGGCTGGAAAAAAGTGACATCCTATGGAAAGGAACAACACTATGCTTTAAAAAAATAAGCTTTACATTCTCCAATTTCTTGGATGTTGTAATTGATGTTGTAAGTCAGAGAACCTCTCAGGTAAATCATAATTCTGATGGGTTACCTCCCTTACATAGACATCTGAACTTCAAAACTGCTTGGAAGGTTCTGTGCAGTATTGTGCAACACACAAACACCTCCACTCTTAATCCTTATAAAAAACATCTTTTTAGAAGTAAATTTTCATTTGTAGTAGAAAAATCACTGTTTATCACAATGTTTATTACTATCACTACTACTAATAGTCTAACTAGAGTTATGAAACTTTTTCTGCCAGAAAGGGAACCAAGCAAGGGAAGCTTATAGTAAAAGAACACTAAATTCCTAAGATCTTAGGTCTGTAAACATCAGTAACTTTTAAGGTAGAATCTCCTTTTGATTTTGATATTTATTTCTTTAAAAATACAAAATACTGAGACTATTATGGTTGCCTTTTTCTTCAAGTTTCTTTTAAAGATATAATGAACAAGAAATACAATAGATGCATGATGGATTAAAATCAGTTTCCAAAAGGAAAACAATTACTTAAAATGGACTAAGAAAAATACTTAGGGTGAGTGAACAAATAAAAAAAAATCAAATTCAGATGTTCAAAAATATTTGAATGCCATGAGATGACTTACTTATATAAGAGGTGCGAAGCTTTTTCACAGACTCTGAATATAAGTTAGAAAGGCCGCACATGCAAGAAGCCACAGTCAGCATACCTTTATGAAGCAATGAGAAAAGGAAAGACGAAGACACTAACAGTACATTTGAGACAGAAAAGCCAGCCAAATAACTTGTATAACCAGGTTTTTAAAATGCTTTTGCCATGCAGATTGTTAGTATTAAAAGTTAAGATGAAAAAAATATGACTTCATGTAATAGCTTTATGAACAAAAAGGACTTTAATCATGAATGTCTTAGAGACACAGTTGAAAAAGCTATGTGGATCCAATACATTAAAATAACGAATGCTAAGAAAACAAAGGCAAGTGATGTTTAGCACTCCAAAAGGCAGTTAATAATCTAAGTGCATGAAACAGAATTTAATCCCTTTACTCCCAAGACAAGTTAACACAGTCAACCAATAATTTCTTTTTCTCAAAATAATTTTTTTTCATTTCATAGAAGAAAATATTTTATCTGACAGGATACAAACTGTGTACATTCTGTTCTATATTAATGATTTTTAGATAAGTTTCCTGAATTGAAATAAGATGACTAGTGTAAACTGGATCTTTTTCAAACCAACATTTGATAAATACATCCTAGACAGTTCCATTTGAATATCATATAATCTGAAGAATTTAACAGGACTTTATTCTGGATCTCTCAAAGAAATCAACACTAGTGTATGAAGAACGGTTTTTTGAACAGTTGATTTCCCATCAAAAAAATAATCATTTGGGGCAGCAATGACACTGTTTATTGTTCTGTCTTCAGCTGTTTTCCTAAAGTAACTTAGGAGTATCCATGACATATCAGGGAGAAGAAAATTTAAAAATACTAAATTTTCCTTTAGGTTTCAAAAAACTTGGCATTTTGACTGAAAAGCCACTTTCCTCCTCAGCTGAAAAAGAACACTCTTCAGCATATTTTTAAATCAAAGTACTTTTTTTTTTCTCAAAGATTTATTTATTTTATCAGTTTATATGTGGAAGTTTATTTGGCTTCCTCTCAAGCATAATATAACAGCATAAACAACAAAACATGCTTTAGCTTATCAGGGACATTCCTATTCAAAGTTTAAAATAGGAAGCTAAAGATCCCAGCAAACACACTGGTTATTGGCAAACATTAATGGGTTTATACAAGCATATGATACGGGTACTAGCTTTATCAGAAATATCGGGTATTTCCTCATGCTGTGTTATTAAGTTACATTCCTATAAACTGCATAAATCCACTGTGCATACTTATATCTACTTACACATAGTATTTTCCAGTTTATGTTTTCTTAAAACAAACATTACATTGAAAAAATAAGTAATAATATCAAGCATCACTAGATTCCACTCAGCAACAATTTTTAAGGAAACATGATTTAACAAAACTGAAATAGTGACATTAGGAACAGATCAAGGAGAAAGAATGTAACTGTAGTATAGAAAAGTATGTTTGTAAGACTAGATGACCAGCTGTGCCTTTCTTCTGAGCTTAAAACATGTTTTGGGTTGCTCACCTCCAGATGGTTGCCGAGTTTTTCGTGGAGATCGTGGCTCCCTGCGATAAGGATCATTGGAGCCATACAGTTCAATAGTGCCTAGATTCAAGAGCACTGTCTTCTGGAGGTAATCAACCATGGCAATACCGTTACAGTTTCCAAAAACTACTCTAGAAAAAGACAAGTGGAAGGAAAGACAGTGCTAATTAAATGTTGGTAAATTTTCACATAAAGATTTTTTGCTGTTCAGCATTTGAAGACTTCCTAATTTTTAATTATCCTAGATCAAACATACCTATAAATTACTATTTTAGAGTGCAGTATTGCTTAAGTGTTCTCTTGTAAAAACATGGCACCAAGTAGAACAGATCATTGTCATTGTACTTGCCAACCTATCTGACAGAGCCTTAAATGACACTTATTCTCAGCTGTACAGTGGCAGCTGAGAAAGTGATGATGATTTGTTTCTGCTGCTAGCATAATCAGGATCTGCCATGACCCAATAGGAATTATCTCCTAAGCACAAGAGACTGATTACCTCTCTGTCTTGCTGTGCAGCTCATGTGAACACACATAGAGACTTAGTTTTAATGGATAATTTTAAACCCCTTTGACAGAATAATGAAAAAACTGTGTAGAATATACTTACAGGCCGTATGCTGAGTTGACTGCTAAGCTGGTTATCTGTTGAGGAGGTTCTCCACTCACCCACACTAGCTGGATAACTAGCTCAGTTTGGTAGCCTGGAGACTGCTTGAGAGGAGAATTTTTAACTCTGCAAAATAAACAAAACATGGTGTCTTTTTATTCTCCTCCATAGTCTCCATTTTTAACTTAGGGGCTCAGAGTTCATTAATTTCTACACCACACTGGACTTCAGAAAGTCGGGAAATTGTAAAACATATGATCAAAACCACATAAAAGCAATCAGAAGAAAAATCCACATTGAAACTGTTAATTCACGTTTTTAAGGGCCCCTTTGATTCACTACGTAATTGAAAATTAATAGAACGGTGATCACAAATACTTCATTTTTCCCATCTTCAGAGCAAGGCATAACAGAGCTATTATGCTGTATTGCCTTGAGTAGATAAAGGTGCTCGGTCAGCATCTAAAAAGGTGTTATGCATTTTTTTCCAGAGTTCCTGGAAGAATTCTGATTTAGAGAATGGAAGGGGGTGAGGGCTGCATGTGGAATAAGTATACTGAAAAGGGAAATAAAAGCACAATGTATTGAGACAAATGATAAAAAAAGCTGATGATATGGTAGAAAGAAAATGAAAATAAGTAAATTATTGTAATGGTAGACCAGTTGTATGCAATGAATCTGGGACTGGGGGAATTGAAGCTCCTGGAAAAATTTTGTTTGCATGCTGATGAACAAACTTATGCATGTCATGCAGAAAAGATTACGTCCTGCATTTTTTAAGGTGAAAAAAGTTACACAGAACTTACATTCCTCTGTTTCCCGAATTCTTATTTTACCCATTCATTCTCACTAATGCATATTTTGGTTTGTCAATATTTTACAAAAATTCAGAATTTTCCATTTTTTCTACCTGCGTTTTCTTTAGAAATACACCACTGCAACTTGGTACAATCAATACAATTGAAAATCCTCACTCAGATAAAGTAACTGCAACAGAATTAGTTATTTTCTAGATAGACGCACTCAAAGAATTAAAATCCAAGCTGGGACCTTAAAACTTCAGAAAACAAAAAGTACATACTTAACTTTATATCTGCAAGATATATACATTCTGGTAGAAAAAGTGATGGTCCAGAGGTCTCATAATGCACTCTTGTAGAAGAGTAAAAAAAAGATTGCCTTCTTTTAATTTTCATTTCTCAAATGAGTAAAAGCTCACACAAAGAAGTTTATAGAAAAATTCCCAATTTAAAAAGACCAAAAACTGGTCAAAGACCTATATTGCAAGCTCTATGAGGCATCATGCAAAGTGAAGATCCTTGACAATGGGACATTTATTTAATTCTGTTTTCAAAATATCAAGTAGTTCTCTTAGGGAATTTTCAAAAAAGAAGTATATTTATAAGCCTAAAGAGTTACCAGTCAGCTAGCTATTTGTAAGAATTTTCACCACTTTTGATTTGGCTCTAAAACCTAAGGCTCTGGAAAACCAACAGATGAAATGTATTCAGCCACAGAACATCAAGTTTCCTAGTCATTTCAATGGACAATGAGAGACAGTGAATAAATTGCTGCTATTGAAAAATGTTTGCTCTAAAGAGTGATCATCTATAACTATACTAACATCTGTGCCAAATTTTCCTAAATCATAACGTAAGGATTTTCAAATTTTTATCAAATCAGCTTATGAAGTTTAAAGAAATTGAGATAGCAATATTCATTTCTTAAAACAGAACTCAACTTTCAGATATTTGGAAAATGTTGCTCTATAAAATAAAACATTCTCACCAGCAATCACATATCTGTAATAATATCAAAGTACATATATTCTAATGACATATTTTCATAAAGTCTCGCACTCAATGACAGTGTAACAGAATATACTTACTTTAAACACGGGACATTATCACGAAGTCCATCAGATGAACTGCTACTAGTAGATGGGTGAGACTGGGGAACGATGGATTGAGGATTGGAACCTGTGCCTGGAGTTGATGAAGGTGGCACCTGCTCACCATCTGGAGTTTCAATATCATTTATTTCATATAGCAGACGTACTTCCAGCATCTGTGAATTAAAATTAAAAAAAAAAAAAAATCAGTAAAGTCTCTCCCTTTCAAAAAAACTGGATACAAAATAAATGAAGTGCAACAGAAGATTGTAGTGATAAGTGACGTCCAGGTCTTTTTCATCTTTTAAAAGATGACACTAGGTTAATAAACAGTGCAACCTAAATACATACGTAGTCTTCAGAAATAGAGTCGTAGTCACTACTACAGACTGAGTATCTGAAGATTACTGAAACTTGAAAGTCTGATATATTTCCCAGTTTTTAAAAGTTTGCATCTTAATATTGAAAGAAATTAAATACCGGATAGAAAACCCATTTAATTATCATTCTGCTGACATACAATCTCAGTTATGAAGATGACTTGGTTTATGTAATTCTGGAATAGTAAAACCAAGAGCTAAAGGCACATAGACAGCTACCCTTTATACTGATGCAACACTGTACACATGGGACTTGGTTCAATATTTGATGTGCTCAACTAGCTCATACATTTTAAAGAACTGCAAATTCATCGTGACTTCAGATTTTCTTCTGCTGGATCTGTAACAATATTAGTATTAATTGCAATGCAGTGAAAAGAAACTTTTCCACTGTTTTATTCTCATCATCTGCAAAGTAGAACGTAATTCATGGACTGAAACAAAGAATATCTAGTATTTTTAAAACTTTCCTAGTACTGAAGAATAATTTGCTAGGGACTGAATCAGAAAAATTGTTTAGAAAAAACTATTTCCTCAGAAGGGAATGTACTTGTACACAAGTAAACACCCCATGAAGGGTGAAAAAAAAAAAACCCCGTGCCTCAGGTCTTTAAACTAAGACTTATCCAAAGGGAGCAGAATAGGAAGGGGACAGCGTTTATGATCTGTGTGTGCGTGTGTGTGTTGCGGGCAGGAGGTGGGAGGAAAAACCAACTACATTACAATTAACATTTTACTTATAACATACAACATTTTATAATTAAATATGAGCTTCTAGCCCATACATTCAAATACATAAACTTGTATGTATGTGTTTGATTTAACAAAGGATTTCTCAAACTCTTGTAATAGAATCAGTGTATCTTACATAGAATAAAATAGCAACACATCACAGTCCTTAACAGACTCTAGGGAACTCTTCTAGCTCTGCACACTGGAGTTTTGACAGGACAGATGATAATTATTAGAAATCAAGGAAAAAAAGAATCTACTCCCTAAAAGCTTTGAAATTCTTCAACTCCACATCTCATTCACTGAAAACCACTATCTTGGTGTGCGATATTTACTTTTGTTGAATTTTGTAATTAATCATTTTTCCTCCAAAAAAACACATCTCTTTGTTTTGAGACAACTGTTTTTGTCCATTTCACTAATAAAATAAAAGGTAACAAAGCAGTAAATTGCTAGAACAGTGTTCTTATAGCTAAATCCTACAAAATTAAAGAATGGTCATAACTAATTACCGGAATGACTTCTGTTGTCACTTCCTGCTTGCTGAACCTGTAAATAATGACATGTGCAGAAACTCCAGCTATGCACAGCATTCTACTTTCTGGACACCACGAGATGATCTGAATAGCATATGGATCTTCATCTACTATATCTGTGTTTGGCCTGTCATCTTTATTCCGTGATTTTTCAAATACTTTGGCTGTTTTTAACTTATAGAGTACTTGCAGCGTTACTAGGAACAAAGTAAAAGAGAAAAATTAGTTTTGATCAAAACAGATTTTTTTTCTTCTCAATTTTTAATTTATTAACTTGTCTCCATAGAGAAAGATATTATGTTCAGCAAAAGAGGGCAGAGTAGAAGCAATGAATATCTGTGTTGCCTCTGTGCACTACTTGATCAATACAGGATCAGTTAGTATAAAAAAATACCCCAACACTTATCCTAAGAGATACATACTAAGCTACAGTTATAAACTAAGCCTTCACAGCTTCTCAAGGCTTTACTGTACCTCAGGATCTCGTTATCTCATCTTGTTACATATGCCATATCTACAACTTAATCATATCTATGGTAGAGAAAGTAAAGCTCCTTTTCTTTCTTTCCACAGTATTTCAAATCCATGACCTCCCACCTGTGCTCTCATACGTAACAGCCCCAATTCCTCCAATTTATATATTATTTTTTCTGATCATTCAAAAGTGCTGCCCTCTGATCAGTCCACATTTTTGTTGATAACAAGTTTCCTAGAACTGCTCTAGTGAGGCCTTTCCACAGTTTTAAATAGTGAGTTACTCCATGACGGTTTTACAGACATACCCACTTCCTTATAGCAGTGATTATTTTTTTCTATGCAACACAGACTGCAATTCATGAGACGTCCCATTTTTTTTCCACAGAAACTAAGTACTGAGTGTACATCATTCATACTACAGTCAAGTAAATTGTCTTTAATATAGCTACCTCTTGTATAGTATCCTTCTCAACTGTAATTCTAATTCTGTATTAAATTTTCTTTCAAATACCTTCATGCTGTTTTCAAACTTCACAGGCATATTCTCTAGTCAATGGCCCAAACCACTGCTATAAATACTAATCACAACATTGGGAAAACTTAAATTATAGCATCCTTTCTCCTCTTCCATATTTCAGTGGTTTTACTTGAATCACATTTCCCTAGTTCACCTGTAAGACTGTCCTATTAGAGAGATTTAAAATCAATAGAGGATACTTGCAATTTCTTGCTTAACAGGTTTATTTATCTGTTTTAGAAAGAAACTAAATGTCTTTAAGAGAATCTCCTTTGACAGATCTACGCTGAATAGATCTTTTAAGCACACAGAATCACTCGGTTCCGGCTAACCCCCTTCTCCTCTCTCTCCCAGGTTCCACTCCCACCCCAAACTGAAATTAAAGATCTATTACACTCCCAATAGTCCTCCTCCCAGCTTTTTAACATATACATTGCATCTGTTCCCTCCCACAACCACATACGCCTTAGCATTTTGGAATCTCACCAGTTTTCCATAGGTTTTCAAAGACAACTAATGACGATTCCAAGATCGCTTTAAACAACTTTTAAGTACCAAGAGTAAGGTTAGTCAGAACTAGATTAACTAAAACATCTAACTCTATGCTGTCACTTCTACTTTGAATTCTTACTGCATTTCTCACTGTGAGCTGTGTAGGCCATCAGATGCAATTGACCCTTTGACTGAAGATGAGAAATGTAAAATAGTATCAGACTCTTCAGGTCTGTTCAGTGTTCCAAAGAAAAGTTTCTTTATTTTACTCTTCTCCTGCCTTTCTTCACAAATGCATAAATCATTTTAGTAGCACAAATTTCTACTGGTTCCAATTCTCATTTTTAGATACTGTAATTTATGGAGAGCTGATGTCTTGAACACATGCCTCTCTCCTGTCCAAAAAGACAGAAACAACTTACTGAAAATCAATTGTATTAAAAAGGTACGCATTTCCCTGTCATGCATCTTCATGCTCAAAAATAAGGTTGAAAGCGTTTCTAAAAAATTTTAGAATTTTTCCATATTAACTGGCCCTTGGACTACCAGTACATTTACTCTGAGGTGGTAAGAAACAGTGGAGCACCTAAGAAATAACGTCAATTATATTTAATTTCAAATAAAAATTTTCTATGAAGTTACTGACTCTACAGAAGGCAAGAAATAATGACAATTACTAGTTTGCAATTACATTCCAATAAAGAAATCAGTTTAGAAAACTCCTACTGCACAGGAAAAAATCTCTACTGAAAATACTTACTTGCTGAGGCATCCCAAAACTTGATCGACCCATCAGCATGCCTATGAAATATTAAAAAATTAATAACACGGTAAAATGGTTAGTTGGAGTGCTATACCTCTTTGTTACTGACTGGAAGGTATACTGTTAACATTCTATTTTTATTAGTGCTTTTAGTGACACTTTATTTTCACAATTTATTGGAAGCTGAGATTTTACCAACATGTGCTCCAATGACTTTGGATGGAAGGGATTAGAAAAACATTTGGAGGCTGATGACTCCACTGTACTAATACTAATTTACCATTTTAAATACTGAGGCATACCTTACCATGTGCTGCTTATTAAAATATGCCCTATATTAGGAGCAACACTTGTAAAGAAGATGCCTAAAGATACAGTATCCCACTGTAAATGAGTCACCTAACTTGTTTATTTAGCCTTGAAATTGAGAATCAGATAACTATATTTTTTCAGGACTGTCTCTCAAACTCTCTCCAAGGTGTAGTATAAAGTGACAGTAATCCTCGTTAGGGCTAATGGGTTGCTCTAAAAAAACTTCATTAGTGCTCTCAATTTCAGTGATGCACTGCAGAGTAATAAATTAAATGTTGCTTATTAAATTGTTCCTTACAGTAGTATCAAAAAGATCAGGCTCAAAAGTATTTGATTGTCCTTTTTGAAATAAAAAATTGACTTCCCTTTGAGAACTGAACTCAATAATTACTTAATGGACTTCCTGTGCTTTAAAACAGTACTCGATATTTTCCAAAAATTAAAGAATATAAGATAAGTTTGATCCAGGATACTTAGATAAGAAACACACATAATCACAATACCACATCATAATAATAATCTCTGTAAAACACTTGCTACCTTCCCTTCCACATTCTGCCTTACTTTCTCAGTAATGCCTCAAGGAGATTATGCCAAGGACTTGTTTGGTGAACCTAATTTCATAATCATTCAAACCACTCATGAAAAACACTGTTCTAAAAGATGAACAAAATATTCTCAATTCTACTTAATCAGCTAAGAAAATTATTACTACACTATGGGATCACTTACCCTGTAATAATTATCTCTGGATAGCTCTGAGTGATCAAACCCCAGTTGCCTCCACTGATAGGCCATTCCTGGAAGATTAACAAAAACACTGAGGAAGAAAATATCATACAGTGCAAAGTTAAGCCATTGAAATTAGTGCAGATACTGCAGAATCCAGTATTTTACATAAAAAAAAAATCAACAAGGGCTATAAACACTACCCCTGTTCCAGGAATTCCTTTAACTTCCAGTGATATGGCAATTGATGGGAGCACATCAGGAAAACATGATTATAAAGCTTGACACATGACAGGATGAGTCAGATGGAGCTCTGGTCTTAGTATGGCCAATCATGTTATTTAGACCTGCTGATTCTCAGTATTTTAAAACACATATGTATGTAGTAGATGTTGTACCTTCTTACTGTAACCTTGACGTTTCTGTCGAGCACCAACTGAATAGAGTGCAGGTATGAGGTCCACAGGACAATCAGCAAAATATTCACAACAAGTAACTGGAGATTCATGTATAGTCAAAGGATACGGATTCTCAAATATAGGATACCTTTAATGGAAGAAAGGGGAAGACTGTTAATCTAGGAAAACCTTTTTTTAAAATGCAGAACACAAGTAAAATACTGAAGACTAGGCTGGCATTCTTTTTGTACAGAGAAAAATAAATGCATATCAAATTAGATTATGAACAAATATGTAACTTTACTGCTCATCTAGTACACTATAAAGATAGACGGAATTGGAAGTTTGTACTGTTTATAGAGTATTTCTAGAACACCATTATTCCCTATAGCTTTATATTTTTAAAAGCTTACTAATTTAGGCCTGTGGAAAAAATTAAGTTACAAAGTCCTAATTGTAGTAATGTGGAGATATGAATTTATTTCTAAGTCTTCAGTCTATTCTTCTGGGGCGAAAGACAGGAAGAGTCCTGTCTCACTTTGTATTAGTATACCATTGTGAGACAGAAAGCTGTCCAGTGCTTTTCAAAGTCTACTTGCAACTCCAAGATCACTTTCTGAAAGCTACAGATAGCAACACTCAGTTACCAAATGGAAGAACATAAACACGTGTTTCCCCCCACCATCTCCATGAGAAAAGTGACAGAGCCTTTATGAGGAAAAAAGTCAATAATACTAATAGAGGTAAACACATCTGTGTTCAAAGAATATTTATCTTGAGAGAAATGCATGCTATGTGTATGTTTTTTCCCCTTTTTATCCCCCCTTTTTTGAGAGGTGATAAGAGACGCAGCTTCTCAAGCCATCTAAAGGAAAAATTGGCAAGAACAGATGAAAACTTACTGCATACCAAGAATTTTATACATAGCTATCTGGAAAGCTACAACAATCTTTTATAACTGAATGAAGACGAGGCTTCACTTTAACAAAATATGACAAATCCATATGAGAACACAAGGTAAAAGGAAGCCTGTAGATTTATTTTGGCATTAATTTTTTTGCCTTTTTAGGTGTCAAACAATTAATACTTTGCAAGTCAATCATAACAAAGACCATTATAAGTCTTCTAAAAACACAACCGCTAAAGATTCTTTTAGCATGAACTAGAATAAGCCTTACCATAACTTCAAATTTCAGGCATTGCAAATTAAATATGAATTTTGGAAGCTTAATGCTATTGGTATATCAGAAACAAGTTCTGGATACAGTATATGGCCATGTAACACTGGGAAAAGCTAAATGAGATTGCTCAGTACCTGGAGAGATATTAGGACAAAACCTGATCTTCTTCTGAATTCCATAGAGTCTTCATTATCTAAGGTATCACCTTAGATAACACACTTGACTTTAAGGATAAATATTTACAGGGTTTCGTTTTGCCCTACAAGGATGTTCTTCACAAGGATTTTTTTTCATTGACCATCGGAGATTTTTAATCAGGAACACTACCAACATTTAATCGAGTCCCTCTGCTCCTAATCCCTTAATGGTTAGTTGTTGCTGCTTATACTAATTTTAAAACCCTTCTTAAAATATTTGTAGTATCCAGAACTTTTAATCACCACCTATTAAGAGTGTATGGACTGTCAACAGACAAAGAAACAAGAGACTCAAAATGTGTTAGGCAAGTATTATTTGTGAAAGGTGTAATAGGATACTACTCTTAAGCAACCTCTTACCACAGCTGTAAACTAGGGAGTAGATGTTATCATTCAAATTTTATGTATATGACAGTTATTGCATCAGTATTGGGTTACTTTAAGCAATACTGATAGCAATTTATTTGGCAATAATATCTGCAAATATTTAAGTGATGACAACAGTCAAAATTACCGGGCTTATCTGATCAGTTCTTCTCTCTGCTCCCTTCCCCAAAACTGTAAGCTCCCCCTCACAGCACTAAGGAATCAACTTCAAAATAAACTGTGATACTTAAAAAGCCGCAGTGATCTATGAGTAATTTCTGTTAGTCAATCAAGCCTGGAAAAAGTCACATGATATTCTACTCATCTACTACATATTAAGCTGTGAAAAGTTGATATATAAAGATTCTCAGTTCAGTTGATGAAATTTTTTATTTAATATTCAAAATTTTATGCTCTGAACAGGGAGTTATTATGCTAGATTAAAGCTATAGAGCAGAATAACAGGCTGATCACCACAGCCAACCATTACTACACAAGATTCTTACCCATTTTGTGCAAGGTCAATGAGTACTAAGTCCTTTTCTAGGAGAACAACTACAGCATATGGTTCCTGAAAGTCTGAAAACAAAAGAAGAAAAAGTTACTTATTGGTAAATGGAGCTCATGTATGTATAGCCTCAAGAATGTAATCAGTCCTTGCACTATAGCAGTTAAGGTTAGAAAAAGCCACTTAGATGACTACAGTTTTTGAAGATATTTTATACACTCACCCTCCTGAATACTCCAAGTTAATTGCTCTTCCATTAATTCAATATTTTCAACAGCTCAAATAACAGAAAAAGGAACATGCAGAATAACTTGTACAAGCAGGTCATATGATACAGCCAAATTTCTCAACAATAACATCCTCCCACCCCCAAACTCTTTACCTCATATTCAGTGGGGTTTAAGTTTTAAGCACTTACAAAATGGATTAAAAGACAGCTGACTTGACAGTAAAATAAGAAACTTGAAGCAGTTTGTGAAGTGTATATTCCCCTCTTTCAGGCAGACCTCAAATTCCAAGCTAAGCAGTTCTATATACTCTAATAGAAGTTGATAGTTATAAACACTGGAGTCATCAGCAATATAATGCTATTCATCTGGGACAACTACCTAAACTATGATAAAAAAAATCACCTGCTGCAGAAAAGAGATTACAGGTTAGTGATGAACTTCATGTAAATATTGGAATGAATAAAGTCACTAAAAGTTAAAAATAATACACAAATGCTCTTCACGATTTATCATTGACTGGAAAGATCGTATGTACTCAAATATGTACTGGTGAACACATCTGCTGCAGTAACTACAGCTTTAAGTTGTAATGCTACTTTTTATCTGCACATGCTTTGGGGATTAAAAAGAAAAAAAAATGTACTGCATAATTGGCTTCCTTCTAGAAGCAAAATAGGCTTTATAATAAACTATGCTATTAAGATGCTTTGGGAAGTAAACCATGCTTCAGATAAATAGGGATAACAGATGTTGCTGCTGAAGTCTGATGCCCAGAAACAAAACAGAAAGGAAATAGTCAAGAACATTCTGATGGGATAAAACTCCAGAGATAAGAAATTAAGGTACTGAGAAAAATCTTTACAGAGCCTACCATTAGGATATGGTGTTTCACAGAGGGTTAGGAAATCAACAATAGAATAATCCATTTCTAGCACAGCAGTACTTTTTCCATGCATAACTGTTAAACAGGGTCTTCTTCCTACAGTGTCATATGACAAGCCTCCTGAGAGAATGATGAAAGGCTCCCTGGAATAAAGCAGAGGCATTTAGGATCAAGCCAAGATAATATACTAAAAGATACTGGGCAAGTTTTGAACCTTACAATGAAGTTCCATGAGATATCATTAAGCAGAGATAGAGTAAAAATAATGCAAGCCAGCTCTCCATGCAATATACAGCTTGAGTGTGAGTTTCAAAACTTTAGTTACAGTCTTCAAACTCTTGTTTGAAGTCAGACATCTCCTCCAAACCTTTCATTCCATATTGCTTATTTTACCAATCTTTGCAACTGCTTGGCAAAATGAGGTTTTTTTAAAACTTTGTACAACTTTAGAATTGCTTTTCTTCTACTGAACTGCAGAGTTGGATTTGCCAACAGTCCCATTCAACCATAATATAAAACAGCCTAGCAGAATCAGGGAGAAACAGTCCCATTTACTTGCTGTAGAGTAATATGATTGCCTTGGAGAAGCTTGATAAGCTTCAAAGACCTAACATCTTTTAAGTAGCATCACACATTTACTCAAGACATTTTATCCATTTCCCCCCCTACTACCATGCACAAAATTCAGGAAACTACTATGTCACAGACTACTCCTACTGCATAATCAAATAGCTGAGTAGAGAGCAAAAATATTTCTTCTAGTTTTGAGAACAGATTGGAGGCTTCCCTTGAAAGATTTTTAAAAAGCCTTCAGAGGAACATATTTTTAAATTACACCCATATTTTTCAAATATGCACATAATATAAAATTTATTATTTCATTTACTGAAAAACAAGATGAAGTAAATATATTCATTTTACCATATATTTTTTTATTTCCTGATTATCAAGCATCACTCTTTTTAATACTTCTTATGTTTGAAATAGGACATAATATCTTTTAAAGAGTAGTGTTTATAAGTATATAGCTCAAGAAATAAATGTCACCCATTACTGACTATTGCCTTAAATTCTACATTATATTTCTGAAGGAAAAATAGGAACTTTGAGTGCCTAACAACTATCTCTGATCTACTTTTATGCTCAATTTACGTAGAAATCCTACCCTTCATTTGTGTCTTTCTTGGAAGCAGCTAGTATGTCAGTATCTGGAGAAAATTTCTAGTAAAAAAAGCCATCCTGATATATTGTAAAAAGAGGCTGAAGAGATATAATTTTTTTTTATCCTTTCCTATAACACCATCTTTCCCATACTGTCTAAATGACTTTCACTAGTTATCATTTGAAACACTAATGTGAGACTAGATACATCTTTATTCTTGAAATAAAGATGTCTATAAAGCGTTTGGTTTATACACATGCTGGCCTTCACAAATTTAAGGCTTGGCTGAAATGTACTCTGTGTTTGTAGCATTGAAGGCAAAGCAGACTGAGATAAGCTTCCAGCTTCTACAATTACTTCACAAGCTGCCTGATCCTCCAGAAAGACCTATGACTGAAGATTTGATAAGATCAAAGAGTACTGCTGGCTGAGGAAGAGACCTGAACTGAATGCCATACATCAGACTATAGGTCCATTGAGTTAAATATCCTGCCTCCAACAGTAGCACAAAGTGCATTTCTAGAAAAGGATTAAGTTTTTTCCAAGTTTTCATTCAATCTCAGCTCTTCATATTGAAATTTCACACAATCTTTTATGGTCAGGTCCATGAAATAATTTGAAGAAAGTTACAAACTGGAATTTAACCTGATATTTTTCAGGATGTCAGTGAAGAGAAAAATACTGGTGTGATGTATGTGCAATATCTCATTGTGTTGGAATGATTTATTGCAGTACTTTTTTGTCCATAGAAATAATTAGTTTTTTTAAGCAGTAAAGCTGCCAGGACAATTTGCAGAAATTATTGGACTTGCACCTTCACTGAGATCAACTGACAATACTAAAGTGACAAATTTTAGTTTTTAATTTTCATACAACAAAGTGACATGACAGTGTGTTGGATTCTCCTGGTTTTTCTCCAGGTAATCAGACTGCTTTGGGCAGGCTTGCCAGTCCGTATCCTTAGGAAGCAAGGAATGGAGGAGATACAAATAGATTACACTGATCTGTCACATGGATTTTTCAAAATGAATCAAAGATTAAAGTTGACTTTAGTCTGCCAGAAAGATGGCTACAGATTGCATATGAATTTTTCATATTTTCATGAAACCATGGATTTACCATGAGCACAAGGTGTGTATTTTCTAATTAAAGTGTTGTTCTTCAGCTGTGATACATATTAAAAGGTTAGTGCACGAATGCTATTGGAAATACCTAATTTAAAAGAAAAATTAAAGAGATTTGTACTTTACATCGATTGATCCAACTTTGGTAATATAACAAAAAGCAGTGCTCAAATCTTAGAGAACTGCTATGTAGCATTTTTAGCAGCTGCTCATACAAAAATTCTGTGAAACAGTTCTCCTTCAGCAGGTTTGGAAGTAATCCCCTTACACGAATTTCCTCATGAGATAAATCTGTAAAAATCTCTTGGAGAACACTATAGGAGATTCACTACAAAGGAGGGCAATGTTTCATTGAAAAAAAATTCAGAAAACACAGTATATGAGAACATAATACAATAGAGAGCCAAATGGCTCACAACCCTGGAGAATGTTTCTATTAAATTTTAGAAGTAAACTGTCAAATGTTAGCCAGTTTCTGGCAGTCCAGAGGTGTGAGAGAACAGTATGTACAGAAATAAAGTCATTGGTACCATCCGGCTTACTTTTCAAACCATAAGTAAATTTGCCAAAAAGTTAATGCTAGTATAAAGATGGAAAGGACTTCAAGAGTTAATTTGCCTTAATACTGGCAATCCTGAGGTAGTAAAGATAAATTACAAATTCATTTTTGGGAATTGTGCTTTTGAACTGACAAGCTTACACAAGAAAATAGTACTATTCAAACTAAATTAACAGATCAAGAACTTGTACTTAGCAGGAGACATCATTATCTACGTAACCTCTAGGTCCCAATTATATACATCCATCTTGCTAAAAAGTACTGCTCTACAGTTAGTCAATGACATCAGCTACCAAGACAATACTCTTTTTGATTACATTTTATGGGGAGAGAAAGCTCTAGGAGAAAATAATAAGCTTGAGCAATTTTACTATAATGCTAATATCAACCAGAATAAATACTATAAGGTACTGAATCACCAGCGGTGGGAAGTGGCATTAAGAAGAACTGAATTCAGGGGGATGGGAAGTGGCACTAGGAAGCTCAAGAGCTTCTCTAGATTCACTTTTGACAGAAAAAGTATACATAAAAGGCAATGTGGAAGCCATTTCAGAAAGCTCAAAAGGTAACCTACCTTTGGAATTCATTGCATCACAAAAAGATGGAGCATCTTAGATGAAAAATAGCTGCAGTACAATGACCTTATGCTCTGGGATTGTAAAATCATGCCAGCTTGCTCAAGGAATATAACAAGAATTTGCCTTTTTGACTCCAAGCTGTCAACAGCAACCTTTCCAAATGTATTCTTCCAGAGATAAAGCCACAGACATACAACTGTTGTAGGGTAAACTACTTTGGCTCTGGAGATTTCACTGGCGGTATCTGCATTAGACTTAGAAAAACCTACCAACCCCCCCAAAAAAACAAAAACAAAAAAAAACACAACAGAAAAAGCCACCAAGTTAGAAAATAAATAGGTAGTCTGTAAAAATCAGAAAAAGCATCATGTCCTCCCATTTTCCTGACTCCAGCTTTGCAATATGGAGAACATAATGGAGGAAAAAAAATGAGAAGGGATTAATAAGAGCTGCAACAGTAAAAAGAATAGTGTCTGTAGCCCTTAATACAGGCTGCCATCAGTCATGTTCCTTCCTTTTGTAGGGTTCCAAACACCTTTTCTCAAAAAAAAAAGTTTATTAGAATTAGAAGCAGTAAAGAAAACAATTAAGATCATATCAACAGTGTTTTCCACAGGAGGAGATACTGAAACAATCTAGATCTTTGAGCACTCTAGATAGGGGGAAATAAGAAAGGAGTGACAGAAAGATGTTAGAGGTTCAATATAAAGCATGGAAAAAGTGAATGTTTTTCACAATAAAGAACTGAAATATAACTTAAATATGAATTAAATAGTACCTCAAATGTAGAGCTATTTTGTTTCATTTTCTTCTGTGATTTTTTAAATTTTTTTTTGAAGAACAGTTATAGCAGACTGCTATAGAAACAAGTTTATTTGGTTTGTTTCTTACATTGTTTCAGTAGCTAGAAAAAATTTTGTCCTGTCCAGAAGTGATTCTCCTCTGTGCTACAGAAATTAAACTATGAACAAGAAATGATAGTGCTTTACATAAAAGTTAAAATTTTATCTTGTTCATATGTAACCAATTTCAAATCGTAAAGAGAAAAATCTATCACAATGTTAAGTATTGAAAGGTAGTTCTGCCTCACCTTAAAATTCTTGTAAGATTACAAGTGAAATTGAAAACAAACTCCAAACTGAAGTACATGTAGCAGTAAATGAACAGAGATTTTCAGTGCACTGCTTCACCACCACAGTGCAAACTGGTTGGGTTTTGTTTGTTGCTTTTTTCACCCCCTTTCTTAATTAAAGTTCAGGATGAGTATCAACAATTATGGATTTAACAGTAAACTGAAGACAGAAAACATTAGAGAGTATATTAAACTGAAATGTAGCAAAACATTCAGTTTGGAGAAACACTGGAAAGTGAGCAAGTGAGAGGTGTAACCAAAAAAAAAGCCCAACACTAGGAGAGAGGTGCCTCCTGAAAACCCCATGTATTCTTAGAAGTTATACTAGGATAAGCTCCTCTTTAAACTGTGTGAAAAATCAACTAGTTTTCACATTGTAATAATATGTCACAGAATAAGCTTGAAACTAATCTTCTCTTTCAGAATGACTATTCAGAATAGAAGGCTTTTGATTGCAGACATTATGACTTGCTGAAGCTGAGATTTTTTGATTATTTCTCTTTCTTTAGATCAGCTTTTATCTTTCAGTTGAGAAAGGATTATGCAGACAGATGTAGACTTCTGCAAGCAAAACATGGCTTTCCAGCTGATCATAGATTTTCATATATATGGGAGCTAGCCACAGTCTGAAATTTCTATTTAGCTCACTTTGAGCAAAAAATAAAAATGCACAAAGCCACTGATATAAGTATGGGTACACCAACATGTAGTAAACTATATTGCATCAATAACAATCTTCTATAGATTTGAACACCTGGAAAACAAATGAAAGTGATACAAACACCCTCCCCAACAGTAAAAGAAAACAAAAAACCCCAAAGAAATGCCCCTAAAAAACCAAAACAAAAAAACCCCAAGAAAACCCCAAACAACCCAAAAACCAAATTAAAAAACCCACAAAAAAACAACCAACCAAAAAAAAAAAAAAGTTTTCATGAATATTTTCTTTACATTGCACTTTTCACTCTTAACATTTTAAAGCACTTTACAACCACAAATAAAAGAAATTCCACACAGTTAATGAAATCCATCTGTCCTAATTGCAGTCTTGGTAACAAAACACGTTACTCTAGATATGTAATTCTATCTGAGCTTCTTGTTGCAATTACTGCTTTGTTACATTCTCAATGTGCATAATTAGGCACATTTCACTGTGTAAATCACTGTACTCTACAGTGTACAAAAAAAAAAAAGCTTCTGTTAACAACATTTTTTGGGGGAAGAACATGTATTCAGAATTTAGAATATTTGCATCAGGCCATTATTTGTTAAAGTTCAGTTTATCATGTCTGTGTTTTGGTGTTTTCTGTGCTTTATCAGCCTTTCTTTTCTTAAATAGTCTCAAAAATTTAGCAAAAATACACACAAGTTTTAGTAGCATGAAAAGCATGTAGATAATGCATTAGCAATATCTTTACCTAAGTTAAGGTTTGTGTATAACAATTAGTTCCTATATATGTTTTTGTAGTTTGTTCATCAATACCTGATTTATCAAAACTAAAACAAAGCTATTTTACCATAGCTCAGTAGCAACAGAATATTCATCCCAACAACTGGGAAACAATGTATATTGCCAGAGCACTGCATTTCTTTTACATATGTTTGTTTTGCATACAAAAGACGTCTTACCCAGCCCTAGTTGTTTTATATTCCACCTTAAGGATAGGTTTGCAGGGTTCTGGCTTCTTTCCATCCTTCAGCTGCTTTCCTAAAGTAAATTATTTTCTTATATTAATCTTACAGTTCATTATGGCAATTAATGGAATTCACTATCCAACATGAGAAGTAGAACATTCATATAAACATACACTCAACAACTTTGACAATTATAGAGTATGTCTTGGAATAATATAATTAAGTTTGTTAAACTCTCAATACATCAACCTAGAATGTTTACAAAAAAACCAACCACCAATCCTAAACCTAAGTGTTGCAGAATATTTATTTTCAAACATATAATCATCCCCTAAAGTCTTGTTTTAAGTAGCACTAGGAGATTTAAAGTTTGTGTCAAGCATTTTGCAATTAAAATCAGTTAGCTTACAAGTAAAGTGAGGTTTATCCTGAGTGTTATCCTTCAGGACTAAGACTTCAATCGAGCATGAAACCCTGCTCTTCCTCAATCGTGCACTATTAGCAACTGAAGCTACTACAGATACAATTTTTCATAGAGTCAGTAGAAATTAAGGGTGTGGTGTAAATATACATCTTTTCTATCTGACCATTGATAAAATACGATACAACTATGAAGTTCTGCAGAAAATTTAACTTCCAGCCCATAATAAAAATAATGTTTATTAAAAGAGGTCAAAACATATTAAAATAACATTAGTCTTGTCTAAGTAGTTTTACTACTACAGTAACAGTTTATTTTTCAATGACAGGAAAAATGGTATGGTATCATATAGAAATCTACAGCTTTTTTTTTTCCACTCTAGTCCATGGTCAGTACAGCAAACATGGCCTTGCTAGAGGCTCAGACAGATAAACCAGGACACATAACTACAGCATCCTGCACTACAATTGTAACCTCACAGATTATCCTCACTGTTACATTACTTAAGAATCTGAAGTAAATAAGTTGCTAAGACACAACTTAGAGACATGCACACCATGTAAGCTTAGGATTTTATAGAACTTAGTTGAAGAGAAGCAACATATTTCACAGAATAACAACATGCAATGTTAATTTCCTAAATTAACATTAATGTAAGACCTCTCAGAAGTGGGAACATTTTACCAGATGCTAGTCTTATTCTGTTACAAACCTTTCAAGAAATTGATGTGGTAATCTACACATTTATACGTAAAACAGATGCTTGCTTATATGTATTTTAAACAACATATGGGATGTTTAAAATATGGGATGCCAAGTAAAAAGCAAGCCCTGCAAAATATGCATTAGTTAACTTTGAGATCAATGCCACTGTGTGAAAGGCAAGCTTGAAGTTTAGAGATTTAGAGAAAACTACACTGATTTGGATTCTTATTTCATAAAGATTTTTTTAGTGAAATCTACCAGAATTTGATAGGGCAGAGAAAGCTTTTTACTTGTATTGCAAGTGTACTTTTAATATTTGTTTTTTGCAAAACACACTGCTATTAAAAACAAGTCCTCTGTGTTTTAAGAGCTGCCAAACACAGTTGGTATCCATTTTCATCTTACCATGTGGAGTGATTGTCTGGAATGGTTTGGTAGGAGATTTTACATTCCATATGGTCAAGGTACCATCTGAGTGACTACAAATAAATTGTTTTCCTTCATGATGCCAAGCCACAGAGTGGATAGCCTATGCAAGAGAAGAGAAAAAACAGAACAGCACAAGTTGTGTATCTTATCATTTTATCCTTACATCTTCCTCAATGACATTAGACAGCATAAGCAAATTAGAGAAATTACTAATTAAATATACTGCTCTTAGTATGTACTAATTTACCCATGGCAAATTTTCTGTTCTTAAGTAGTACCTTCAGTCATACTTTATTCATCAAAAATACTGTCTTCATTGTAGTGACATGTTTACGGAGGGGAAAAATCATCCTCCTCAGTGTTAGCATTGAAGCATTTTTCAATGAAAGGTAGCACACAGAGAACAATTCCAAGCAATTATTTGAGCTTTGCTAACCAAAATTTTTCACTACTGGGAAAAACATACTGTCCATACAAAAAACATGGGATAGGATTATTACGTTCAAGTATTATATGACATTTTGAGGTGTCTATGTGGATGTGCACAAGAGGCAAGCATGGGCTGAAAATATAAGCAAAATGAGAATAGAGGTAGCAAGGTTTTTTGAAATTACGATGATGAAAACAAAGTATCAGGTTGAGAAAATACTCTAACATTGCAATGGGAGTTTTGAGGTGCAGGAAAGTACAGAAATCTACTAGTAAATCTTTCATAAAAATCTTTCATATATACAGAAACATCTTTATTTTCATAAAATTAGGAATGGAATGATTAAGCCATGCCACATGAAATCTGCAGAAAAAAGCTGACTAAATAAAGTCCTCTGTGAGGAAACATGGATGTATGAGTAGTAAAGAATTGTAACTAGCAATGAAAGCTTAAGCAGTAACTATTAGCTGAAGAGCAAATCTCACAAGACAAATCCAAGCCATCTTTGCCCAAACTGATTATACACAGATCAGGTCTTCATATTTCATACAGTTATAAAGAGAAACAAGACAGTTTCCAGCAATATGACTGGGAGAATTCAGAGCTTAAGTGACAGAGGAAAATGGTTACACTAAATGAGTGGAGTCTCCAATAATAATTTTCCCAGTCTAAAGTAGTAGAAGATATATGGATATATGTAAACTACAGATTAACTAAGTTTAATATTTCTTGGTGAAATTTAATCTTGTTCCCTAGGTATTGTGGTATCACTACAGATTTTGCTAGAATACAGATTGTCTGTACCAATATCACATCTGCACACGTAGCTCAGAAACCTAGATGATTCACATGATGTCTCCTAGTATCAAAGTGAAATAGTCTTGCTCATTCTGTACATGAAATTTTTGTTTAGCAAAAAGAGGTTTTACAAAAGAAACTTTGCATAAATACGGAACATTTGTTTTTATTTACCAACATAGTACCAAATAAAGGAAGAGATCAACAAGTTAGAGTACAGACTCAGTAAAGAGAAGGTTTCATTTTAAAAAGCTCTGACACTAAGAAATTAAAATATATATTATGCTTAGCAATACAATACAATCAGTACATTTTACATACTTTCCCACACTCTGACAATAGTAGGCAGCCCATAGTGCAAATGGAACAGTTTGACACACACATATGTAGAAATAGGTTTTAAGAACTAGTAAGAAAGCAAGCTTTATAGAAGTAAGGAAGGAAGGACAAATCTGAGAAATGAACACTACTTTCTTTTCTTGAAAAAGAATCTCAAGAGGAAGGGAATGCAACAACCTGTTACTGTTGAAACAGCACTAATGCTTAAGAACACGAAAAGATCTGATAAACTGAGCACACAGGAGAAGGATGACTGCTACCATAGTTTCTGCGAGGAACATGGAGGAATGGAAAAAAAAATCACTAAAAGAGAATAATGAGTCTTTTGTTTTATGGCTATTTATTGGTAGTTTTATAGAACCTCTTGCTATATTTAGTAATGCAGCTAAATATTGTTTAAACTGTAACAAAAATATGTGTTCTATGTTTTATAAAATAATCCAACTAACAATACTATGGGCTGGGCATGATAAAGTTTTGTACAGCACTATCCTTTGCTATCACATAGTTCACAAATTCTTGTAAACCTGAAAAACAAAACCAAACCTGTAAGTAGCTGCAGCATAATCTCCAGGTACAACAGGCTGGTATATCTACAGTGACAAGTCAGCTATAATGAAAAAAGTACAATAAACTTAGGTAGTACTAGTTGGTTGATAGCAATAGTCTCAATCACCAAAAGAAATCTGATAGCTGAAAAATCCTCTCAATACTCAAGAGCAAAAAAGTTTTAACATTTTTTCCATGATTAATATTAGTGCTGCAATTTGAAGGAAAGCATAAAACTGAAAGATCCAGCAGAATCCACTGAGGCTGCAAATCTACGCATAGCTTCTCAGACATTAAAAGGCCCCTACAAGTAATATATTTTTTCCAATATTTTATAAAAATTTACTGATTCGGAATAAAACTTGAAGTTTCACTCATAATTCTCATCATGATTTAAACTGCACCTGTTACCCTTTTGGTATAATGCTGCAGTATGCTTTTATCAGCTGGTGCAGATTCAACTGTCTCTCAAATATTTGTTTGGAATATATCACTAGTCAAACAGATCCCAAACTGAAAGTAATACCTTATAACAAGATCATATACAAGTACCACAGAGGACTGTTACTATATTTAAGGCATAAGGCATTCGTATCAAGTAGAATTGTCTGCACAGGTAAAACGAGTCCTGAACTCAACTAACATTCTGAATCCTTCCATTTATGAACATGAACCAAATACAGTGAGGTTTAGAGGAATTTACACAGGGAACACTCTATTGAAAAAGCAATGAAGTTTATCTAAATAAATCTTTAAGTTTACTTAATTACAACTGAAGGTTTCTTATTAAAAGTATTCCTACCCCCTTCCCTTTAATTCAAATTTAAGGTAGCTGTTCTGGACCATAAGGAAGCTTGTTTCAAAACTTCTGAGACAGTTACATGTTTTCCGGGGAGGGAAGGAAATCAAATCTTACTTTTTTGAATAACAAACACACCACAATTGACCACGCTGTCCTATGTATGCCAAAACTTTACCAGAAATTGTAGAAACTATCTATCCCTGAGTATTATGTGGAGACAGGCTGTACACAAAGGCAGCCTCACTTTCACCACCTGTTCCAGAAGGATTAACCCAAGTGGAAAAATGACAGCCATACTGCCTGCAAAGAACATACACATATTTGATTTTAAGAAGGAAACATTCTTGCACCGACTAGCTTTTCAAGAGATTAATACACATTTAAAAACATTTTATGTCTATATCTCTAGAAATCAGTATTATTTTTGGCTCTTTTAAGAGGTACAAAAACTAATAATTTAAATGCAATCTTACAACGTAAAATACAAGCTCATCAATAAAGAGTAAGCTCTATTCAACAAAACTAAAACATCAGTGTGTTATCACTTTCATAGTGAATCCAAACACATAGCACTGTGCCAGCTATTAGGATGAAAATTAAACCTATCCAAAAGCAGTACATGCAGGAATTCACTGATGTAAATACAAAAGCTATTAATTTAACCAGTTTACCCTGTTTTCAAAAGAATTTTTAAATTCATTTTTCCAAACCCAAGTTTAGACTACTGCAAATACAGTTGGTAAAACTCAGGGGAAATAAAAAAATCTAAGTAAACTGTCCTTTTTTTTTTTAACTAATATGCATTTATTGTTTACTTTTCAAGTATAACACAATTTGTGGGAAAATAGTTCTGAATACTTTCCCAGAGGAATGAAAAGACACTGATAATTCCTTTCATAATTCTTTGGATTTTGCCATGATCCTTTACATGGCAAAATTCTGCCATTTAAATTCTGACATTAATTTAGCTTGAAATATACTGTGCATGACATAAGCAAAGTCTATGGTTAGTTATTCTGCAAGCCAGACTGATTATTAACCATAGCCTATCCAGATTTCACTGTCTAATTATGACAGTCATTTAATTTCCATGGACACTCTCAGTATTTTCTGTTAATGAATGGGTGATCATACTGAGTCCTTTTCTACAGGTTTACCAAAATATTCAAAGAAAGGATAGTAAAACCTGGGAGTACCTATGCTAACTCTCTGGCCAACAACCTAAGAAAAGAAGGGGAAAAAAGCTGCAAAAGAAAGAAAAAAAACAACAAAAAAATGCAGCTATTGAGATTTAAATGACAATTCAGCATGAAGATTGTTTTGATGAAATATGTCACATACCAGGGTTGTTTCTCTTTCCCCAGTCCTCTCAACTCCACAGGCTACTTTGACATGTTTTTAATGCTGGAAAATAATCTCTTACACCCAGCCATGTACCAGAACATTGTGTCTAAAAATAGTAATCTATAATACATTACAGTAAATGCTATCAAAGCTTACTCTACATCAGAACAAACAAAATATTACTTGAAGAAGGGACTTTATTATACAACTACTTTTAGTTTTCAGAAGTTACATTTGAGGGGTATTTTTTAGAAACAAAACTTATAGTTGAGAAATTTGTTTTATTTCTTTCCTGGATCAAAATACAGGTTGGGAAATAACTGCAATATAAAGTGTATTCCACATAAGAAATGCAAAGCTTACTTTAAGTCTCCAATGTCTGAACATAAAAGGCTTAAGAATGGTGCAAAAAAAATTTAGTCTTACTTTTTCATCAAGCCTGCCCAGGAAAAAAAAGGATGCTTTGAGCAAAGGGTTTCAAAGAAACCTTCTAAAGAAAGGTCCCTTCACAACTTCAGTTCTACTATGTAGAGATAATTTCCTTTAAACTATCTGAAAAATAATATTACAATTGTGTATTATTTCAACTAATTCTAAATACACAAAATATTACTGTTATAATAAAAAATGTACACTACTTATTCACAATATAGAAAAACCAAGAACAAACTCCAATTAAATTCCCTGAATTTTCCATGAACTAGAATGTTGTGGAGGGAAGAATATGCCAGCAATCAACACTAATCATGACATAGAGCTGCCTCCCTCAGCTATGGTTAAGCAGAAATACGATTACAAATGGTTTAGGGGTGGTGATGTTCCTGCCCTTGGGATGAATGTCCTAGTGTTCTTGTGCAACAACTATTAGAGCAGGGTGCTGGAAAGGCACACGCGAAGAAAATGGTGTTCCAGTGACCTAGGTTTCATCAACAAAAGAGACTGCCACACTACAACATGGGAATTTGCTTCAGGAAAGCCTTCTGAAGGTCAGGCCATTTGAAATGAAACCAAGTAGGAAGCTACAAAAACAGAATTGGACTCAGCTTCTTCCCTCAGGAAATAACAGATATCTTTTCACAAACCTCTGATCATGCAGGGAGTTTGACCCTCATTATGATCTTCCTCTGCTAAGGAACAAAAGGATGACATTTGGATCCCTTCACACATTCAAAGCTTTGAGTCAAAAAAGTTGCATCAAATGATTGTGATAGACTGCACAAGCACTCAAGTTACATGCTCTAAGACTAAAGTAATCTATAAAGTGATGAGAGAGGAGGAAACTATCCAGTGGTAAAGTTTCTAGCAATCATTCTTTATGGTATCAATGTGCCTGGCCACCCAGCTCATGGTGCCTGAGAAAGCCTAACCACCCACTAAGATGGCAAGTATGACAAAACTGAACTAAGTAGCTCTCTTCTTACTAGTTGTAAACTCCACACTCAGAAGAGCTCTCAACAAGAACAAGTGGAGAGCCAAGGACATAAATCCTGAGGTTTAAAATCCTGCTTCTGCTACAGGGCAGAATGTCATGTGCCTTCACCAATGTGAGAAGAGGTGAAACATGTTGGGACATTAGGTGCTTCCTTCCCCTTAAGGGTGGATTATCACACATGTCCATGGACCTTACGGTCAGTGTATGAAAGAAGCTCCCTGGTAAAGCCACTAAACCAGAATCAACAAGAAGCTATCTAGAAAGGTTCTGTGTACAGACATAAGATAAAATAGAACAGTTAAAAAGAGTTAAAGAGAAGAGCATGAAGAATAAAAGGTATACAAAGAGCTTCAGACTAGAAAAAGATGGAGACATGAGTAAGTTTCTGAAACAAATGACAAAGGGAATTAAATAGGTGCATGCAATGAAAATGGGAGAGAAAAATATTCTTCACATAACATACTTTAAGGTTTATACAGACATTTCTGAATACAAAGAAACCTCATTCAGCTCTGATGATCTACGGCTTAGACTACTTCAGAGACTTCCCTCTTCAGAGAAACTCTTAATTGGTAGAACACACAAGTATCAAACCAGAACTGCCACCAAAAAACGCCAAAGAACTCCTCTAAATCATGTCTTGTGAAAACTTCAGCACAGGGCTATGGAAAATACACCTGCTGTGAATCAAGTAACAGGCCTAGCTGGTACTGAACAATGACGCAGTCATTTTATAATCAATAAAATGTAATTGAAACCAATTTTTTGATATTTTTAAATAAAATACATCAACTTGCATATTATGGTGAATGATTTTTCTTAATCTCAGTCTTTCAAAAAGTTTATTCTCAAGAATAAAGGTTTAAAGAAATGAATGCTATTTAATGCCATTGTTTTTCTAAACCTCCCCCAGTCTTATTTCAAACCCTGATCTTATCCCACAGAGAAAAGGTGTGTTTATAGAAATGTTGCAATGAGATTATTTAGTAGTTTCTTCCCCCCCCCCCCCCCGGTTTCAGAATATGCAAGAGATTCCAAATTACAGAAATTGCTAAACCATGTAGTTTCAATTTAAGACTCTAGCTCTTAATACAGGTGAAAGTCACATGACTAACAGAAAAAAAGATCTGAAAGCTTCACCCACAAAAAATTAGTGAAGAAATCCAATCCATGCCATCATTCACTACTTCACAAACTTAAACTCAATGAACTTATTTGAAGTTCATTGTCCAAACTATACTGCTCTATTAGAGAAAACTTCAAGTACTTGTAATTTCAAAGAAACCTATTTATTGATCCACTGGTGACAGAAGCAGGAGAAGAAATTAAAAAAAAAAACAACAAAAAACACCATTAGAGTAGTGAATGATATCCTCAGAGTAAGTAATGCAGATGAAAAATGTTACCTCATCATGTGTGTATCTGTAATCTGCCTTCTTTGACTTCAGGTCCCACAATACCACCGTTCCAGATTCAAAGCCAATCAGAAGCTGCATTAATAAGCAGAATTGTTAAGTCTTTATAAGGAAAAGCAAAATTATACCATTTGCAATGCCTGTAGTTCTTGTCCCAAAGACATGCATCATCATACTTCATGTAGTAACTGAAAGTAGTTACAAAACCAAAAATTAAAGAGGTGAAGACCTAAATGTTAGAAAGGTTTACTTTGTACTTGTCATTCTTCTGAAGTTCCAGCAAATACAATGGACATTCATGCAAAACTAGAAAAAAATTAAAGTATCATTCTGAAGATTCCTTGGAAATCGCTTTGAGTTCCAGAAGGATCAACACTAAACCTTGCTAAGTGTATTCCTTCCTGAGTGAAAGTTGGGGGGCAGGTGGCAGTATTGAAAAATAGAACTACATTGTGCGTTTTCCTCACTGGAATTCATTCTCCTTAGATTTGCTGGAAGAATATACTACCCTCCCTGAAGTTTTAGGTAAGAGTTCATTTTCTACAAAGAAAGTACTATAAGCTTTCTCCAGATGTTAATTACAATTAAGATAACTGGCTAAAGAAAGACCAAAACCATTATTTATTCATAGGAGGAAAGCTAGAAAAATTGAACAAGATAATTTCCCAAATAATCTTTTTGCTAGAAGCAAGATTAAACCTTTCCTGCAGGGAGTGAAGACTCAAATTGCTCACTATAATTGGTCTAACACATTGCTGAGTATCGACGTTTTGCTCTCCTATCTCAAGTGACATTTCTCTTAATGGAAAAAAAACCCAAACAAGGCCAACATAAGGCAGTAGTAACAGTATTGCCACTTGTTATATGGAAGAACGCAGTGCAGCTTCAGCTTTGAGAGTTGCTGGATCTAGTGTGAGATCTTTCCTTTGAGCATTTTGCTACAGCAGAAGCTGCTCCTAGGATTGAGTAGCATGCCTTCACTTCCAGTTTTTCCCCAACATGGACATACAAAAAAAGGAGTAGTTGGTTGCTACAATTTACTCTGTTGAAACAGACTATTTCCTGTGAGCAAAGTGCCCTGAGGAGTGTCCTTCAGATTGTAAGTCAGAAACCACTGCCTTCACATGAACTTGGAGATCTAAATCAATATGATCTATTGCCCCACCTAGACATTTTGCCTGGACAATCTTTTCAGCATGTTAAGATTTTCAGGATGTATAGTTGTTTTCAATATGAAAAATAACAGAGGATCTCCTACCAGCTTACAAAATATTTTATTTCTTTCAGTGCTATACAGCATTAAAACCCCATTAAAATTAGATATGTTTGATCTAGTAAAAGTGAATATTCGATTTTTGCCATTAGTGATATGCACACTATTAGTTTAAATCAACTTGCCCATTATAAGCCATATTTTATAACTTTTCTATTTTAACTTAAACATTAGAAAACCCACTGCTTAGAAGGCTAATAGAATGAACAAAATTTAAAAATTAGTACATAAGAGGTTCTTGCAACAGCGCAGGGTTTTTTTCAGCAATATTTTCCTTACGAGAAATAAGAGAAGTGTAAGGTCAGAATCTAAATCTCTGATTGATATCCTGATCAATTAACCCAGTCATTTTTAAACTTCAGTTGACAAAAATTAGATGTGGGGTGGAATACACCTAAATAAATAAATAATTTTTCTTTTCTGAAACTACCATAGCTTCATTGTGTTCATATTCCAGAGTCCATAAGCCTGGAATGTGACTTAAATCTAATTCTACAGAGAAAACCATTAGTTATGGACTTACTGCAATGAGCCTCACCCTAATGAAAAAACTCCACTCATTAAATTCTCTTTGTCAGACTGAAACTTCAGGTGTCTAGGATACAAGCTCATAACTAGCTAAAACATTCAAACCACTAAGACAATAGTATCTCTTCGATTGTCTCCAATTGAATCTACCACTGACCTGTCAAACAAAAAAATGTCTCCTTCATATGTAGAACACTACTAAGGAAAACTATTTTCCCTCTCCTTGAAGACTCTTTACACATGGGAGTTCAAAATTCTAGTATATTTGCAACATTACACTGACAAAAGTAATAATTCAGTATTTAATCAATCACATTACTCAATTGCTTATGCCTCATTAATCTAGAGTGATGTCATTAATGAAGACGTTTAAAGCAGAATCAAGGGCTCTCTGGCTAAGTTATAACCGTATTTTTGCCAGGGGTCTACGTAGTTCTGGAAAAGGTTCATATAACACTGCTGCTTTCGAATAACTCTTTAAAATTTTGCATTATTCCTATTGTTAAAATTAAGGAAAACCCCTCCTGTCTACTCTTCAATGTGGACCAAGGAATCTGAACAAAATTAGCAGTAGATCACTAAGATGTGCGAAATAACTATATGGGGCACACAAGCTAAAGCATCTGAAAACCCTTCATAGTGTGTTAGCCCTGTGATACCAACCCAAATCTTGCAAAGAGGTCCACTTACTTAGCCTTGTAACCATGACTTAGGTGGGGAATGGAAGATTTAGTACTGCAGCAATTGCTGTCACCTAGAGAAGACATACTAGCATTTTAACTCCTTGCTTTCTCTTTTTAGCTCACAGTGAAGATTTAATTCATTAAGTTATGCATTCTACATTTTTTTTGCATGGGCATCATAACAGATGCCCCACAGCAAAGGGTAGTACCTGTAGATTTACTTTAATACAGAAGGAACTCCTGACCGTTGAGTTCATAGCTCAACTTCTTTGTGGTTGCTATGTTGCAGGAGAAAAAATTCCTGTCTTCTGAGGGCTTCAAGAACATGTATTGTAAAGCTTCTTGTCAAGAGGAACAGATGATTATGTTAATACTATCTCATAAGAAGGAAACGACAAATCTAACACATAGCTCTTTCTTACACATTTTAGTTGAGTTTACTTTTCTGAAGTGCTTAGTTGGACTACAGACCAGTTTCAATAGCAGACAGTAGCTAGTGATTATATTAAATTGCTTAAAATGTGGTTATGTAGTTAGACCTCAAATTCCATAAAAACACTGTCTCAGATTAATCTAAAGGTAAAGTATATGGTATTCCATAGAAATATGCTATATGAATAAGCATTTTACAGTTGTGAAATTACAACACCCAAGAGCATGGTAAAGTTTGATTATTTTCCATCACACTTTCAGCACTCAGGTTATGATTGGGGGTTTTTTTGTAACATCTTACCTTTTATCACCATAAAGTAAAATTCCTTGCTTTTATTTTCCAGGACTAAGCATTTTCATCTGTGTTTTCAAATGCTTCTGATTATAAGATGAATTATTCCAGTAATGCGTCCTACAGACATGTCTGTACCTTATTTCATGTTACTTTCAGAGCCTAAAATCTTGATTTAGCCTTCCTTTACACTTTAAACATTGTCCTCATATACTTAATCCTTCCTTAAGTAGCAGTGGTATTTATACTTTAAAAATAAGTCTTCCTTGAAAAATAAGGTATTGAAGAGTCTTTAAACACATCCTACCTTTCCTTCATCCATTGGATTGTCACTAATATGGACAATAGGTCCTGGGTGAGATTTGGACGAACTAAAAAAAGAAATATTTCCATTAAAAAGAATTTCCTCTGCTCTAAACTGCATCTCAAAATTATTGTAAGCAATACAGACTCTGCAGATACAGATTCCATGTAAGCAAGTTGTTAACATTTCAGCATGGAGTTACTTTCACTTTTTATCTTCAAGCCCATAAATACTGTGCCTATTTGTAGACACTTAGTTTCTGTCTTAAGGAAAGACTTATTTACTGTCTATCCACAAAAGAAAATTGCTATTAGCTTTACAAAATTTATCTTAACATCTGTTGTTACACAATTGATACAGTTGGATAAAATGTTTACTTTTATGCTGGAAAACCAGCTTTGACATGAAATGCCCAAGGTGGTCATTGTTACAATAACACAGAATTAACACTTTATGTTAACCTCCTACTAAAAAGATGGACTAGTGAAGAGCTGGTTTGTTTCAACAGGCTCTGGAAAGTGATGGACTTCATATGTTTTTGAAAATAGACATACTGGGAACAAAATAACTGCACAGGAACAGCAGCACACAACTATATCTTTTCACCCAAACCCCACTATATCTGTACACACAAATTTGTCACTAAAAAAGGAAGAACAATGACAATAGCTGTAAAACGTATTTTGCTCTTGGAATAGGTTTATTTAAATTTAGGTTTTTAGACAGTCATTTTAAACTCAGAATGTATCATCAGCCCTCTTAAAAAATGCATATCTTTACACTTTGGTCTTTAACTCTAAAGCTGTAGATGGGACATGTCTGTCCAAGTACCAGCCACATCATAGTTTAATATATATCACTTTTCTTCTATTTTAGCACTACATGTAATGATTTTTAAGTCTATTCCTATATTGTCTGTTTTGTGTATTTCTATGTGTATTCCAGGCATGATGATAAAATATTGTTATAGGCAGAAACATATATACTAATTAACACTTCACATTCATGAAAACAAAAAGTATTTACATGACTACGTACTTTGATTGTATATTTAGTATACTGAGACTAATATGGAGGCCACTCTAAATAACGACATTTCTGCAACTGATGTTAATAACAAGTGGGACACTGCTGTTCCCTCCCCTCAACAGACAATACTTGATTAAACTCACAGTTCAATGGCTTTATTCCACATGATGACATAGCCTGAGAGAGTAAATGATTCCACATTGACAATGTGAATGTTTCCTCTTTCGGTCCCCACATATAGCCACTTGCTTTGGAAAGGCAGATGACAAAATGTTATCCTGAAAGAGAAAGCCACCAAAAAGAAATTAAAGAAATGTCTTTTGGATATCCTACACTTCAAGGCAGGAAAAATGCAATAGGCAAACAGGAAGATATAAGACAAGTTCAAGTAGAAAAGGCAGTACAAGACAAAAGTACAAGATGGACAGACAATGGACAAACTTAGACTAAATAAAAAAATAGAAAGCAAAGTATTCTAAAACTCTTAAGTCATTCAGATAAGAAAAAAATATAGACTCCTTTGAAAATTATCATGAATGTAGCTGATCGAGATTTCTGTCACTTTAAACTTAAAATACAATACTCCTGTATTCTACAAATCTCCCTTTGAAATCTACCTAGTCTCAAGTTTTAAAGAACTAAGGATTTTAGACATAGTCTTACGCAGATTAAGCTACTTTCAAGTAAGGATTCAAAGGCAAAAGACAAAACACAAGAAAAATAAGTTTACATGTAATCCAAATTGACCCCTAAAAAGTAAGCCTTAGAACAATCCTAAACAATTATAAAAGTAATTTTAAAAGTAGTTTAAATTCTGGGCTGTTACTTTAATTAAACCATGTTTTAATTTTCTGCCTTACAGTTTTCTCTTCTGCTAGAATGAAGTACCTGAACAAAACTCAAGAGCTAACAACTGTATGTACCAGCAGAGAACTCTTTTTGACCCTAGCTCCAGCATAAATACTAATATTTGAAAACTCGATTATTTCTGTGCTCTTGGGTCCTGATTATTGTTTACTATTTCTTTAAGATAAGGAAATAATGCCTGTACAAACTGACAGAATGCTACCTTGAAACTGGAGTCTAGAAACTTTCTGGAAACTCTAAACCACTTTAATCTGACAAGGTCTGACGTGAAAGAAACTGCCAAACTACTTGACTATCAAACTTGGGCTTTCAGAAATGTTTCAGTGATAAGGTGAAACAATTATTAAATGGAAATTTGTTCTGTTAGCTCTAATCCTTAGCTTTATAATTTTTTATGTCCTTGTTTTTTCCCAGTTGGATTGCCTTATTGCCAAATGCATGCATCACTTCACAAGCCTGTTAATAAGTCTTTATGCAAAGAACAGCTTTAGATCCTTTGCATTAGATGCCATATATGCACACCAACTTGAGCAGAAAGGAAAGGCTAATGGCAGCAATGAAAAATTGCTATGGTTGAAGAGATGTTAATTTGCATTGCAGGTTTCAAAAGGTAAGGTTTCTGTAGTAATACTAGTATGGCCAGTCTTCGCGAACGAAGATTTTGGGAAAGGTCTTTTACCTTTCAAGCCTGCGCAATGGATTTTTTTTTTAGGTGAGACACAGCATGCACTGAACTGAGCCCACCCTTTAATCCTAAGGTTCATCTGCTGGGGCCAAGTGAGCTTGGACAATGGTAGTGAGGTCCTCAGGACGTAGGTTTGTTTAGAGTGACCTTCTCTTAGATGGATGGCCTTACAGGGTTGACGAGCTCCATCTGCCCGGGGGAGTATCGGAGTATCCCTGACCGGGAATCGAACCCGGGACGCGGTGGTGAGAGCGCCGCATCCTAACCACTAGACCACCAGGGGTCCCCAAGTAATACTACCTGGATTCAAAAGTGTACCACTTTGTTTTTACATCACTAATTCCCTCTTAATTAGGAAATGCAGTTATCTCAAGCAAATCTTTAATTTATTTGTTTTTAACTTGATTTCTTTTCCTTGAACATTTATGCCAAAAAGACGCACTTTTTTCATTGATGTTTGATAGAAAAAAAGATTACATATATGATCTAAAATGCTTTTCCAATTCATTGAAGTTATAGACGTTGTAACACATTTAAGTAAGCACACTATTCTGCAAAAACCACAGGTTAAAGACTTGTGTTTCCCCAACGTCCTTGAAAAAAAATATTTTAATGGAAGTTAAATCACATACATCAGCACATGCGCTTCCTAGGCGGGTAGTTACTATATATACAGCTAAAGCATAAACATAAACCCTCAGCACTCTGAAACACAACAATCACTTTACATGTCAGCACCCTATATGCCAGAAGCAGCTGGAAACCAGATCAGTTGGATCAAAAATCATGGCCTAGCAGCCAGAAAAAATATTCAGGAGCGGGGTTGTGGGCCTGTCTTGATTAGTAAGTTAATATTGTCAATTACAGGTGTCCAACACTTCCATTATAAAAACCAATCCATTTCACAACACATAAAGTGGGCAAAATAAAAGTTGGGGCTGCATCTTTGACTGCTATAGCACAAGGGTAACATTTAAAGACGTGCCCAGCTCCTCAATACTCTTGATACTCTTCTTGAATATGCAGACCTATTGAATTTACCGTCTCCTCTGTGCAACTGAGATTAATTTTGCCAAGAGTTAGCAAACAATGAAGTGATTCCATACCAATAGTAAATTAGAACAGAACAGGTAACTTTACAAAATATTTACAAACTCTCAAAGGCAGGAGGTTGAAGAGACTCCAAAATTGTGAAGTATAGGCACATAACTGGGTTCTTAACCTTATCTTTTAAAGTGTGCTTTTACCAGTCTTATAGAAGCAGAACAAGTCTTGTCTGATTTTTCTATAAACAAAAATATATTCTTAGAGCTTTTGTTTCACAGAACAACCAGTTAAATCCAAAAGGAATTTGCCACACTGATCTTGTTAGAAAAATCAATGTTTCTCCTTGAATGTAGTAAATGATACTCCATTTGCAAATAAAAATATTTACTGTTTCTTTATTTTCTTAATAGAAAAACTATGCCTTCCAACTTTCTGAAATTCAACTGTATCTTGACCAAAGTGACTTACTTCACATAACTGCATTTATTTTAGCAATTTACAGAGTAAAATTTCCAACATTAAAGTTCATGAACTGAGCTTGTCCCTTCACTGAGTAAGGCTTCACCTTAAACTATATAGATTTTAAACAACCTTGGAAGTTTTACAGCCCTCTTAAAAACTAAAAACCACCATCTGAATGGCCAGTGATGACATACTAGTAAAGGTCATACAGGCTGCATTCAGTGGCCTTGCTCTGCTGAGAATTGGACTGAAGATTAAAGAGATTCAAACTCATTTTGGAGGATGGAAACAAAACGTTAGAGTCTTGGTAGTGATGCTATACTTGCTTATTTGACACTTGGCCAAGGACAGCATATATTTTTTCTGAAAAAATGTAAATTTTGTTTTCAGAAACCTATCTTTCTGCCACAAGATTAGAATAATATACTTCATTCATAACATATTTTAAGATCAAGAGAAGTGAAAGTGGCCATTCACAAAAATCTTAATTGTTGTTGTTTCACAACATATATCAAAAGAATTATTACAGCAAGTGATAACAGAATTTCATTTTAAAGGAATTATAGAAATATTAAAGAACACAACATTAAATTAATATGCAAATAAAAAAATAGGTTTTTAAGAGAAATATTACAGAAAAATGATAGGCTGCTATCTTGACTGTATTATTAGGACAACAGAAATCCTTCTAAATTCATCTTTACCTTTCCTTAGTCTACTGCATTATGAAGCATTATACATTCTTCAGAATTTTCCATTGCTTTTACAGAGCATGGTGACAAATACTATGAAGTATGACAAAGACTGATAACAGGTTTCATTGTTAAGTCACTAAAACTATTTGTAGTGCCTCAGGTTATCATCATAGCTCTGCAGTTATTGTAACTATACTACCTGCTCTGATCATTACTGTATAAGCAACATAAAAATTTTCTAAGAAGCAAAGCATTAAGCTACCAGAGTTGTACTCTGCATTCCTTTATCTTCAACCTCTCATGCATGAGAGAGGATAATGTAAAATTCAGAAGCTGAGAAGTTTAATTCTTATGCTAGCATGGATTCCACACCTATGGTTTCTTGTCAAAGCTTTCCAAGGTCTTAAAAAAATCAAGAACCAGTGTCAGAACGACATACTGATGGAAGCAAGCAGTGGCTTTGATTCCGCCAGACTGCTGCAAAGGGTCTTTTTTCACATCTGGTAACTGCAATTCGCTTAAATCACCTACCTGTACAAAAAAAGGACTCAAAGACCAGAAGGTACATGCAGAGGAAGAAATCCTCTTCAATGTATCTCAAAATTGTTCAACTAAAAGACCATGTGGGTAAATGCAATATATCATAGGAACTGAGCCAGGTACTTCAGTTTCATTTATATCCATAACAGCACTTCAAATGGTGCTTCTCCAAATATATTGGCTTAAACAGCTGCCTCTTAAGGCAGCTGAGAAATACCTAGGTTCAGCATCTGAGTTGTGGTAGACACTAAGGGTGTCAAGATGGAGTAATGGGTAAATGCGTTAGAGAAAGCTACTGAAGTGTCTTATGATGCCATGGTCTGGTTACTTTTTGAGTCATGTCAGACATACCAAGAGGAGTTCACAAATATGTAGTGCAGGGTATTTCATCAGTGGTAAGGAATCATCAGATCTTTAGGGTGTTTGGTGTGAATTCTGTCAATACTGAAAATTTTTTTTCATTTTCGTATCAGTTGCCTCAAAAGGCATGCAGGAAGTCATAAACTCTGACTTAAAATAAATAAATAAATGATCATTTCAGAGATGTAGCTTTCCCACAGAAGACAGAAAAATTATGCTTGTCACGGATGGAGAAGTCTGTCAGATAGGCAGGGCTTAAAGATTAGAGGTCAAATTCTGCCCAAGAACAGTTGGCCATTACATGCCTCATACCACTGTGAAAGTCAGTGCAAAAGGAAAACAGCTAACAGGGCAACAGAGGCAATCTAAAAGCTGACTCTGAAATCTGAAATTTCTGAGTAACAGGACTCAGCACACTGGTTTGCCTCAGTGCCAAAAGGCAGCAGAAGGCAACTGATGCAACTACTGTTCCATTGACCACACTTGCATGTGGAATTCTGCATAAATGCATGGCCTCAAGACAACACTTTTCAAAGGAATCTGATCTTCATGAAACAAACATTCACATCTACAGCAAATCCAGAGAGTCAATAAGTTCATCTTCTTCTGCTAATTTCTTGAA